TCTCACCTGCCTTCCGTCTTCTGGATCCTGGTCCCATGAATAGTTCTGGCTTTGCAAGCTGTCCAAGGCCTTCAAAGATTTTAAAAATATTTAAGATATATTAAATATCTCCTCTAGGTGTTCATAGTAGGAAGGTTGGGTAAAGCATTCTGGCCACCCATATGCAAAAATGCCTGCTCTTGGCTTATGGTCAAGGCTGTCATGTGCGTCCCTACCCGGTGGGTGACAGCAAGCTTCCAGCTGTGACTTGGCAGTTAGGCCCAGAAAAGCTCTTTGGTGATGATGAAGAGGTGGTAAAGGGCTCGGACATTGGAATAGGCCTGATTAGACTGCCCCTGACTGGCCGTGTGACTGGGAACTTCAACTTCATTGTCCAGAATGGGCATGATCCTATGAGGATTAAGCAAGTTGTTACTTAGTACGGTGTGTATGGTGTGTTGGGTGTTACCTAAGTACAAAGTGAAGAACAGACATTCAAGTGTGCATTCCTTGGTGTGCCAAAGCCGTTTTCCCTTGTGCCAGTACTTTAGGGTAAAGTTTAATGCATGTTTCCACAAGGCAGAAGCACATGAACTAATGGATGTGACTTAGGAGATCAGAATCAGCCTTTATTATTTAAAGAAAAAAATTTAGAGAGAGATAGAGTGTATGTGCAAGCACAAGGAGGGGGTGGGGCAGCGGTAGAGGGAGAGAACTTAAAGCAGGCTCCTTGCCCAAGCATGGAGCCCCATGTGGGGCTTGATCCCACAACCCTGAGACCATGACCTGAGCTGAAACCAACAGTCCGACTCTTAGCTGACTGAGCCACCCAAGCGTCCCCAGAATGACTTGCACATTTAAGAGGACGTGCCAAATGTTGGCCAGAATGCGGAAGGACTGGGGCCATCATGGGGTGTTGTCAGGAATGTAAAACGGGATGACGACTTTGAAAAACAGCATCCGCGTCTCCAAAAGTTATATATGCAGACACCGTGTAATGCAGCCGTTTCGCTTCTAAAGAAAAGAGAGCGTATTTCCATCTGAGGCTTGTGCATGACAGTCGTAGTTGCTGTATACTTGCAACATCCGCAACCACGGGGCCGGCCGAGTGCGGCTGTGGGACCAGAAGGACTAGCTGTGGCACTCCCAGCACAGGCGGTACTCCAAGGTCAAAAGGGGATGAGCTTGCTAACTCAGAATGAAGCTCAAACTAACCGATTCTAATTGATCATGCTCAGGGAAAGATGTCGGATAAAACACAGCACGCACTCTAATTCCATTTATGTGAATTTCTAATCGATGGTGGCAGAAGGCAGATCCAGGGTTGCCTGGGAACAGGAGCAGGGGCTGGACCTGACAGGTGGAGGGATGACGAGGGAGCGCGAGGACACTGGGGAGTGACGGATATGTTCACTGTCTTAATTGTAATGATATTTCAGTAATATGTACACATGTCAAACCCTAAAAACGGTCTGTGCAAACAGCTGTGATTTGTTTTACAACAGCTATATTTCAATAAAGCTGAAGTTTTTTTAGAAGAAAAAAATCCAAATTTAAGGCAAGTAATTTATGCTTTTTGGCATCTATGGAGAAAGAAAGAGGCAACAAGCTTCATAGCTGGCACAGGGGTGTGCGATTCACATCAGACTTTTTAAAAGGTTAATGCTACCAGAAAACCAAGCCACATCGAGTAACTTTTTTAAATAAAAGAAGGAAACACGGGGGGCCTGGGTGGCACAGTCGGTTGAGCATCTGGCTCTTGGTTTCAGCTCTGGTCGTGATCTCAAGGTTGTGAGATCGAGCCTTGAGTTGGGTTCCATGCTCAGTGCCAAGTCTGCATGAGATTTTCTCTCCCTCCCACTCTGCCCCTCCCACTCATCTTCTCTGTCTCTGAAATAAATAAATATTAAAAAAAAAAAAAGCAGGAACATAATTAACCAGGAAGGGAACAGCAGCAGATGGGAGTAATCAACCCCGAGACGCAGGAAAGCATGTGGACAACGGTGTCGGGTACAGCAGAGAAACAACAGGCTACTCTCTAGCCTGTGGAAGGAGTAGGACAAAAAGAGTGGTGCTGATGTTCTTTGCAGAAAGCCCACAAGTCTCGTGCACTGGAGGGCCAAGCATCTGAAAGTGACTTCGAGGGATGGGACTGCTGATAGTTTGGGTGAGACTGTGGGCAAGGAGAAATGCTGAGACAGCCTCCGTTTGTCGCTCAAGCCAGGCCTCTGCTGCTCCTCTGTGTCAGCAGAAGACAAGGCTCATGGGTCTGGAGAAATGGGAGTAGCCTGCTCTGACTTTGGGGCGGCAGACACGACCGATGGTCTGGATGTCACCGACAATGCTGGGGACTGACCTAACCTGCCTGTTCTGAACAGTGGAGTGCCCAGCACCCCTCTTATGTGTGCAAGAAGGGAGGGGGCAGGGGGATGAGTGAGCCTGGTGATGGGTATTAAGGAGGGCATGGATTGCATGGAGAAATGGGTGTTATACTCAAACAATGAATCATGGAACACTGCATGAAAAATTAATGATGTACTGTATGGTGACTAACATCATATAATACAATAAAATAAAATAAAAATAATCCTAAGGAAGAGGAAATACAAAAAAAAAGAAATTAAAAAATGTGTAAGTACATAGAAGTGTTTTCAAGCGAAATAGACCAGAAGTTAGAAGAGAGAATATTCTAAAAGATTGTGAAGATAGAGAGCTTTGTAGAAGGTCCCACTGACTGTGATTGGAAGTTCTCAAAAGTAGAGATGATGCAGGGTTTGGAATGATTGAAGAAATGACCCAAGAATATTTCCCAAAATGTTTATGTTTTGTGTTCATTTGCCATCTGTGTGTGTTCTTTGGAACTATACCTACCCAGGTCATCTGCCCATTATTTTTCTTTTTAAGAGAAATTAAATTCACATTATTTAAAAAAATTTTTTTTAACATCTTAATTTTATTTTTTTTTCAGTGTTCCAATATACTTTGTTTATGCACCACACCTAGTGCTCCATGCAATCTGTGTCCTCCTCAATACCCACCACCAGGCTCATCCATCCCCCACCCCCTTCCCCTCTAAAACCCTCAGTTAGTTTCTCAGAGTCCACAACCTCTCATGGTTCATCTCCCCCTCCGATTTCCCCCAACTCCCTTCTCCTCTCCATCTCCCCATGTCCTCCATGTTATTCCTTATGCTCCACAAGTAAGTGAAACCATGTGATAATTGACTCTCTCTGCTTGACTTATTTCACTCAGCATAATCTCCTCCAGTCCCGTCCATGTTGATACAAAAGTTGGGTACTCATCCTTTCTGATGGAGACATAATGCTCCATAGTGTATATGGACCACATCTTCCTTATCCTTTCGTCTGTTGAAAGGCATCTTGGCTCTTTCCACAGTTTGGTGACTGTGGCCATTGCTGCTATGAACAGTGGGGGACATTTTTAAAAATCAGATTGTTGTTGTTGTTGAGTTGAATGAGTTCTTTACTTATTTTGGATATTTGTTCCTTATTGGAAGTATGAATTGCAAATATCTTCTCCCGGTCAGCAGGTTGCCTTTTAGTTTTGTTAATGATGTTTCCTTCACTGTGCAAAAAGCATTTTAGTTTGATGGAGTCCTGATAGTTTATTTTTGATTTTGTTGCCCTTCCCTGAGGAGATAGATCCAAAAAAATATTGCTAGGTCTGATGTCTAAGAGTTTACTGCCTATGTTTTCTGTGAGGAGTTTTATGGGTTCAGGTTTCACGTTAGATCTTCATTGTATTTTGAGTTTATTTCTGTGGATGGTGTAAGAAAGTGGTCCAGTTCTCCCAACACTATTTGTTCAGACTGTCTTTTACCCGTTGAGCATTCTTGCCTCCTTCGTTATAGATTAATTCACCACATAACTATAGGTTTATTTTCTGAGGTCTCTGTTCTGTTGCATTGATCTATGTGTCTGTTTTTGTGCCAGTGCCATCTTATTCTGGGTTAGTTTAGATTTCTTATGTTTTTATCCTAACTATGGATCACATTTTCTTGCTTCTTTGCATGCCCAGGAATTTTTTATTAGATGACAGACATTATGATTTTAGCTTTGTTTTGTGGTTATTGTTTTGTTTTCCTATGTTCTTTTTTTATTTTTAAGATTTTATTTATTTATTTGAGTGAGAGAGAGAACAAGTTGAGGGCAGCAGCAGGAGAAGCAGACTCTCTGCTGAGTGAGGACCTCGACATGGGGCTCGATCCCAGGACTCTGAGATCATGACCTGATCCAAAGGCTGACATTTAACCAACTGAGCCACCCATGTGCCCTTGTTTTTCATGTTCTTGAAAAGAGTTTGATCCTTTAGGATCTGGCTTTTAAGGTTTGCTAGGCAGGACTGGAATGGTATTCGGTGTGGTTGCAAATATGCCCCAGGACTGAGGCAAGACCCATTTTTCATCTTGTACTCACTGTCTAATGAGAACTGTGGATTGTTCCAGTCTGGCTGATGGAAACAGAATTTGTTCCCGGCCCACAAGACTGACCACTGGACACTTTTCTTGAATCTTTTTGGGTGGATCTTTCCCTGGTCTCAGGGGGTTTCTTCACCAGCATGCACTGATTTACCCTCAGCTGAATACTTGAAGGAGGCATACAGAAAGTGCTCCGTCTGTGCAGCTCTCTCCTTGGAGTCTGTTCTGTGTGTCTGCGCAGTCTTTTGTACTCCAACCTTCATCCCATCTACTCAAGGTGCCTACCAGCTCCACTTGGTTCCACCTCCTGGGTCAATCCTGGGGTACTTTCTTTAAGGCAACAGACGGGATAATCATGGGTCTCACCTTATTTACCTCCTGTTTTCTGTGGATCACTGTCTATACTGCTTGATGGTTAGTGGTAGTTGACCTTGGCCAGACGCAGAAGCCAAATCACAAGGATTTCTAATCCTTTGTTTTATTTTCAACCAGATTAAGAAAACCACTAAAGCGTTCTTCACTTTGGTAGATTTGACTGTTGTGTCCAACTTGAAATCAATACATGACATGCCTTTCTGTTTAGATTTCTCTGAGGAATCTCCTTGTTATGAAGAAAACATGGATTGGGAAGCCATCACCGATAATTATTTCACATTTTTGGGTAATTTACTCAAGTCTCCAGCTGCTTCCATCTCCAGGTAAGTTTTCAAAATTCAACTTCCAGGTTTTGATTTAACTATTATCTGAGACAAGCAAAACCTATTTATAGGAAATGTCTGCTTTATTTATTTATGTAATTATTATTATTTTTTAAGAGAGTTTGAGAGATAGGGTGAGTGGGGCAGGGGGAAGGGAGAGGGAGAGAGAGAATCTCAAGCAGACTCCATGTCCTGCGTGAAACCCCATGTGGGGCTCGATCTCACAACCCTGAGATCATGACCCGAGCCGAAATCAAGAGTGGGATGCTCAACCCACTGAGCCACCCAGATGCCTCAGGAAACACTTGCTTTAAAATGTGAACTCCTGATTGACTGTGGATGCAGTATTTCATATTAGGCATTTGATATTATTTGCCCCATAGCATTTATGACTCCTGTTTCCATGGGTTTTGAAAAGAAACACAAATGATAGTTGTAAGATTTTTCTTCAAAAGCATGATTTATAATAGATGCTCCAAAAATGGAATGGTTGGATAATAGTCTCATCCAGTTGTGTACTTTAGACATGGGATCCGTGACTGAAGATTCTGGGAGCTCTGGGGACTTTTGGGAGAGAAGTGAGCTTTGGAACTAAATCGCCAGTTTATATGCTGCTCATGCATTCAGACAGAAATTCTCACGTATAATTACGGAGATGGTATACAGCTTCTTTCTTTAATTTTTTAATACATGAGCTTCTCATTTTATTTATGTATTATTATCTTTGAAGGCAAGTTCTACACCCAGTGTGGGGGTTGAACTCACAACCCTGAGATCCAGAGTCGTATGCTCCCCTGACTGCGCCAGCCACACGCCCTGGATATCGCGTGGAGTTTAATATTTATTTATTTATTTATTTCAGAGAGTGGGGGGCAGAGGGAGAGGGACAGAGAGCCTTAAGCAGGCTTTGCAGTGAGCGTGGAGCCTGACATGGAGCTCAGTCCCACGACCTTGAGATCATGACCTGAGCAGAAACCAAGAGTTAGACGGGTAACCGACAGGGCCATGAAGGTCCCCTGTATGTGGTTTAAAGGACACTTTATTTATTGCTTGTGGGGTGTGTTGACAGAAGCTTTGTGTTAGGACATAGCTTTTAAATTTGGGAACGGATCAAACTTATCTGTGAAGTTTGTTAAGAATACAAATTCCTGGAGCCTGCCCCAGACATGCTAAACCTTGGCTGTGTGGAGGACCTGGCTTTCTGTAGATTTAAGGAATTGTGCATGTGGTTCTGGTGCACACCAAAGTTCCAAAGCTATTCAGCAAAAGAAAAACTCTGGGCCATGTCCTATCCAGCCATATAATAGCTGCGTGAATCTGCTAATTAAAAAAAAATTCTATATATTAAAATTGTATTTCTATATATTATAGAAAATTTTCTACATATTAAAATTGTATATGTATTAAATTTCTATGTATTAAAAATTTATATATATGTATATATATGTTTATGTGTGTGTGTGTGTGTGTGTATATATATATATATATATATATATATATATATATATATATATTTGAAATATTTCTTTTTCCGTGACTTGGAGATACTGGTGTATATCCCAACAGACTTCTGTAGGAGTGAACTACAACTGTAGTTAGGAAAGTGCCTTACAAACTGTAAAGTCATGTAACGACGTGGAGCTGTACTTCTACCAGTGGTTCTAGTTACTTCTACTGCAGCCCTTGCTCACACTGCTCTTTTTTTTTTTTTTTTAATTTTCTTTATTTACTTGAGAGAGAGAGGAGTTTGAGAAAATGAGTGGGAGGAGGAGCAGAGGGGGAAGCAGGCTTCCCACAGCTGAGAGCCCAACATGGGGCTCGATCCCAGGACCCTAAGATCATGACCTGAGCTGAAGGCAGAGGCTTAACCCACTGAACCACCCAGGCACCCCAGCTGTGTATGTATCTCTATGCAAGGCTGGACTTGAACAAGATCCGTATGGAATTCCTAATAGCACAGTTTTCTTGTTCTTGCTGGAGAAGTTCCCTGGAGAATGTTCTCAGTGTTTCCTGGTTCAAAGTCGCCACTCTCTTACACATAAGAGTAAATTAAATGATGGTGTGCCTCTCCCTTGAGTGTGTGCATTCTCTCTCTCTCTCTCTCTCTCTCTCGCTCTCTCACTTAAATAAATAAAATCTTAAAAGAAAGAAAGTAAACTAAATGAAGACTGTACCTTCTGCTCCCAGATCCCAGCTATTAGATGGGAGAAAGCAATATTCATCATTTCATCTCTTCTGTGTCTGTCCTGTGTCAAGACTGTGCCTTAGCCGACAGGATTATAGAGTGAAAGAGGTTTAGGAAGGAATTCAGCCTTGAAGGTATTAGTAGCCAATACCGGTCAAAATCCTTATCCACAATTTTTCAATGTGTCTTCTGAAGTCTGGACATGGAGGCTTTTCTTATGGGGGCCTCACAGCTCCTTCCACAGAGACTCCAACACGGTGCGCCCATCTCAGGTCTCACTGCCGGGAGTGTTCATGAGTTGGGGGTCTTCCCCAGTCCCCACGGGTGGAGGGGGCATTAATACATACCTGATACGTGAACCATGTCATCTTTTTACATTTTTTAAAATATTTTACTTCTTTTTACTTAGAGCAAGAGAGCGAGCATGAGCTGGAGAGGGGCAGAGGGAGAAGGAGAGAGAGAGACTCTCTGGCAGACTCTAGGCTGAGTGTGGAGCCCCACGTGGGGCTTGGTCTCACGACCCTGAGTTTGTGACCACGGCCAAAATCAAGAGTCAGACTCTCAACCAACTGAGCCACCCAGGTGCCCCCCCATGTTGTCTTTCTAAACTCAAGCACATAGGGCCCCAAGGATTTAGAGTGGACTGGTGACTCCTGAGTTAGTGGAAGTTAGTAGACTTCTCCACATGTGGACCTCTGTTATGGGTGTGGACTTGTCGGAACCCCTGATGTGCTCCTTTGAGAACTGTGTGCATTTTACAAGTAGGCACCTGGAGAGAAAGCACACTATCTAAAATCATGAGTTTCTGGGCACTTGAGGGGCTCAGTCAGTTAAGCATCTGCCTTCCGCTCAGGTCATGATCTCAGGGTCCTGGGAGGGAGTCCCACACTGGGCTCTCTGCTCAGCGGGGTGTCTGCTTCTCCCTCTCCCTATACCCCTCTCCCTGCTCTAGCCAAGACGTTCGGAGACACAACAAGGAATCGAATCCTCAGATTCTTCTGGCATATGTAGCAAACTTACCTTTAACGATCCTTCATATGAAATCATGGAGTAAAATAATTTAAAATGCATTGTTTTTGGTGCAGGAGGCAGATTTTAAGCTACGTATAGGCATCTGCATTGTGACTTTCTAAAACACTTTGGAATACTCACAACGATTCAAATTCCAGTTGTGAAATATACTGTATAGCAAACAGTCCATTTGTGTTTTCCTCTAAATATGTGTATTACTTTGAAAATTTGATACACTGAATTTGTCTTGAATTTATTTATCTACTTATTTGGATACTAAGACAATTCCATTAATATTGTAGAGTCTTGAATTCCACAAAGGAACTTCTCATGATGGAAAAGAAGTTGCATTCCCTCGAGGATGAGGAAATATACTTTTTTTTATCTTTTGTGAGATTTTTGGAGGAATTATTGCCTGATCCTTTCGACTCGCCCAGCGTGCCCAAATTCCATGACCTCCCATCTCTCAGTGAGACTCTTCTGAACACAAGCCACTTGTGGGTCAACCATTCAAGAAGTTTAGAGAGCGACACATCTGCTATTGCTACTCAGAAACTTTTGGAATTTGGCAAAGTGGTGATCGACAAAATAGGAACTCTTGAAAGTCTCTGGATAAAGAACGAATCAGATAATATTTTGAGGTTCATGGAATTAGTACTTTTTGAAATTGATCCCAAGCTCCTGGAATTGTGGATATATGGCATTTCAAAAGAAGAAAGAGTCAGGCTGGAAACCGTGTCTACACTTCTTAATTTTTCAGTCACAGAAGACGAGAGGATCCTTACCAAGAGCCTTAACTTTTCCCAGTTGTTCCAGTCAGACTGGCCGCGATTGCCAGCTATGGAAATGGACTTTGTGCATTTGAGTGAAACTGTGATAAGCAGTCTCTATGAGCTCGGATTTCTGAAGGAAGGACAAGTCTTTGAAGCTCTAGACACAGTCTATGCTATAAGGAATGCGTCTGAACTTTTCTCAGCCCTTTCTGAGTCCGAAAGACGAGCCGTGGACATGGTCTTGACTAAGATATATCTAGACATCTTCCAGGACAATGATTCAGCTTTGCTTCTGAAGATTTATGCTTCATGTTTTGAATATATTTATAAACTCTTGAGCATTCCAAGTACAGAGGCTTTGCTATCTTTCCTTGCACAAACCTCAGAGCGCATCTTGGATATCATAAAGCAATTTGATTTTCAAAACGTCAGTAAAGCATTTGAATTTTTGTATGAGACAACAGGAGTTCTTGAGGGACTTTCTGAGGGATCTCATTGTCAGCAGTTGCTTTCAATTTTTAACTACTTGGAGCTCCAGGCCCAATCCCTGATGTCTACTGAGGGCCCAGAACTGGAAGTGATCCCTGCTACATTGACAGGCCTCAAACAGCTGCTCTTGGTAGACAAAGATTTCCGTATTTCCTTCTTTCAATACATGAGCCAACTCTTCAACGAATCAGTCAAAGCCCCATTGGGCAATGAATGCTTTGCCTTGGATAATAAGAACATCTCTTCTGTGAATTACTCAAAAGATAGAGGGTCTTCATTTATTCTTCCATGGACACAAATTCTTTCCAACCTCTCAGCGGATGGCAGGACGTTCAATGAGTTCATGGCTGTTCACTGTACGGTCTCATGGCTTCAGATGTGGACTGAAATCTGGGGAGGCGTATCTCATCTCTTCCAGCTTGACATGAATGTTTTTACTCCTCTCCATGTTGGTCTCACTCAGCTTCTGGATGAATTGGAAAGTGATGTGAGAATTTCTGAAAGCTGCCAGGGAATGTTTCCCACCCATCGCCCTGCCAGACTCCTATTGGATTTGTTTAAAAATGTAACTCAAGCTGATGGCTTTCATGATTGGGATGATTTTTTGATTCTCAGAGACCTCTGGGTAGTATTAGGTGATGCATTAGTTGGGGTAAAGTCACTTAGCCCGGAGCAGGTAAGGAAAGCCCTTTTTACCATGGAAACTGCCCTGCATCAGCTAAACACATTTCCGTTAAACACAAATGCAAGCAGAGAGTTTTTCTATTCTCTGCTTGATGTTTTCATGGAATTGAGCAACACCTCAGCATACATCGACAGAAACGTACAACTGATAAATCACTTTCTTACAAATAACATTACAAATTATGGAGTGAGGCTTGACAGTGTCATCACTGAGCTAAGAGAAACAATGTTATTGCTTCGAAATGTGTCACATGACCAAGATTTATTGTCCTGTGCCCGGATTTTCCAAAATGTTACCGAGTTTATTTTGGAAGATGGTTTATACGTAAATATGTCACAGAAGACATTACGTATTCTGGCCATGTTAAATTCCACATTTTCCTCCAAGGACACGATTAGCAAACTGAAGGGATGCGTCACGTGGATAGACATCACGAACCACCTGTACGTGATGTACAACTCCAGTGTTGCACATGACTATCTTCAGGGTAACCTGAGGAGTTTCAGAGACGTGGGAGACAAAATTAATTCTACACTGAAACTTGCTGCTTGGATTCTTGGTATGAAGGGGCCTCACTGCACACTGAATAAGTCAGATACAAACTGTGTGAACATTGTATTGAAAAATGTAACCGACTTTCTGAATGCCATACTCACCGAAGTCTTTGAAAGGGAAAAGGTACCCAAATTTGAGATCTTGCTAACCCTTTTCAATGATTCCACAAACCAAGTAAGGATGATTATCAACAACCTGACGAGAGACTTTGATTTTGTATCTCAATCCAACTGGACGCGTCTTACTGAATTAATTCTAAGACCCCTAGAGTTGTCAGATGACATACCTAGCCAGTTTACAAATCTTTGGCTGCATTTAGTAGCTCTGGGGAAGGAAATTCAGAAACTTATGAAAGGTATTTCCACTCACCTCCCAGAAAATGTCTCCTCTTCTACATCTGAAAAGTATCTAAACCTATTTGCTACCAGCTCAAAAGAAAAGGATGTCAACAGGTTAGGCCGTTCATTTTATCATCTAGCCAGCTACCTTCTCTTCAACCTGTCTCATGATCTCCAAAATCCATCACCAGTAATGCCCCACAAAATCATGAACGCTGTAGGTCTTGCCATCCAACTGATTCGGGACGTGTTCAACTCCCTGGTGCCCTCAGTTCTTCGCAACATTCCACAAGATCTGGGTGATATTCAAGTTTTCAAGAAGGTAGCATCTCTCCTGCACACTCTCAAGAAGACAGACATAGACCTGCTGGTCGACCAACTTGAGCAAATGAGCGAAAGCCTAACAGATTTCTTTAAGAATATCAGTAGCTTAGGTACCCACAATCTGGGGGCCAACCTGCTTGTAGGCCTGGTGGAGAAATTTGTAGACAGCTCACATTCTTGGAATGTCAATCATCTGCTGAAGTTCTCACGCTTGTTCCCTAAGGACGATGTGAATGTCGTGGTAGACGTGTACTACATGCTTCCTCATGCTGTAAGGCTCCTGCAGAGGGGAGTTGATAAAAACATCACAGAACTCCTCAAGGATGTCTATAACTTCACGCTCCTTCATGGCATAAGCATTTCCAATGTCACCAAGGAAGACTTTGCTAACGTGATAAAAACTCTTTTGGACACAATTGAATTAATAGCGGAGAAACCAGGAATTCTTTCCAAGGCTTTCACTTGCCTTCCTGTGGTTTGGTGCTGGAATCACACAACTTCTGGGTTTCAGCAGAATCCGAAGTTAGAAGGCTGTAAATCCCATGAGCTTATGCCATCTTCCTTTTATACCAAAGTGGCCAGCCTGCTTGACTACCTCCACGTCTCTCCCCCAGGTGAAGGTTTACAATGTTTGGACGAAGGTTCACAGAAGGAGATTACGAGGAAGATGGTCTGTGTAATTCGTGAGCTAGTGGACTGGAATTCCATTCTTCTGGAGCTTTCCGAAGTCTTCCATGTTAAAATTTCGCTTGTGAAAACCATGCAGGAATTTTGGCATAAAGTGTTACCATTTGTCCCGTCTTTTGAAAATCAAAGCAACAGTAGCATCTCTGAACTTTGTCCCAGTGGCCGCATAAGGCAAATTGTTTCGCAAATCATAGCAAAATTAAAAAATGTTAACTTTACAACAATTCCATTAGATGAACACATTCTTGATACACTAGCTAGTTTAAACAAGATCCTTAACCTTAGTGAAGGCACAGAGGCATCTGTTCGAAATAAGATTTCCTTGAATTTTGAAAAGATCATGAAGTTGCCTTCTGGGGATCAGCACCTAGAAAAGAGCCCCCATTCTCTAGACCCTCCATCTGAGACATTTCTTGATGTGAACCTGACAGGCAATAGTTTAGAAGCACCATCAAGTTTTACTAAAAAAAGAGAAAAAACTTTCCACTCTTCTTACTTTGAGGATCTAGGGATGGAGCTTGAAGAAATCATGGCCAATCTAAGCCACAATTTTCCTATCAAACCCCGGCTTTCTGAAATTATCAGAGAAATTCAGATGCTTAATTCAGAGACTCTTCAAAATGTAACTTTGCAACTTGCCCATTTTTTCGAAAGCCTGGGCTCATCGTCATTGAGGATATCAGAAGTCGTTGAAGATTTTCTGTTGGTCGTAAAAAACTGGCTTCGTAAATGGGCAAAGGAAGATGATTCTGGAATGATTCAAACATTATTTCTTCTTACGGCCAATGAGAGCTCAACTGATGATCTAGCTTTGTTGACCAACAAAGATATTGCTACCTTTTGGGGGCTTCTTAAAACCATTTCTAGGGAAGGTAATTCTGATGTTGCCCATCTTATGCAACTGCTAAGCCAAGAACAGCTAACTAATTTCTCACTTGTTCAATTCCTTTTTGAAAGTTTCCTAATTAATTCAATCAGTAATTTAACTGGGAGGTCTCCAGAGGCAGCCTCAAATTCAAGTGATAGTGACCTTCACATAATGAATTTCATTAAGCTTACCTTGAACCGGACACAGTCAGAAAATGGTGAGAGAATAATCCTTCCTCCGAGAAGTGTAGTGGATTTCATGGAACAGGTTTTGAAAACATTCTTCTCATTTTTGCTAGAGGAAAATTCTGAGAACAGAATATCTCTTCTGCTAAAGGCCTTCCACAAAGACATCATTGCAGAGTTGAGGTAAGTCTACTTTTTTTTCTTAAGATTTATTTATTTCTTTGAGAGAGGGTGAGAGAGAAAATGCTTGGGGTGGTGGAGAAGGGGCAGACGGAAAGGGAGAGAGACTCCAATAGACTCTGTGCAGAGCACAGAGCCTGATGGGCTCAATCCCACGACCCTGAGATCATGACCTGAGCTGAAATCAAGAGTGGGACGCTTAACAGACTGTGCCAGCCAGGTGCCCTGAGACTTTTTTCTTTCTTTTTCTTTCCTTCTTTCTTTTTTTTTTCTTTTTGGTATACTAAGTGAGGTTGTTATATGTTACAATTGGTTTTTATTTCCTGGAGCGTATCAACATCAGTAACAGCACTTCTGTAACCATCACCCTTGGATGATCTTTGAAGGGAATTTTGTCTTAATGGACATTTCATTAAAATATCATGGTGAATAATTTTGATGATTGTCATCTAAGTAGTAAACACGTACAGAAACCTAGCCCCTGGTGATTAATCACTTATGCTCTCTTACGTTCTTGGGTTATGCAAATAGTTACAAAGTTCTATTTTATATGGAACTTAAACATTAGTTAGTTGGGTATTTTTTTTTTGAGATTATTTATTTGCTTATTTGACAGAGAGAGAGAGAGAGGAAGGGAGACGGAGGGAGAGAGCAAGCACAAGCTGGGGGAATGGCAGGCAAGGGGAGAAGCAGACTCTCCGCTGAGCAAGGACCCAGACACAGGACTCGATTCCAGGACCCCGGAATCAAGAGCTGAGCCAAAGGCAGATGCTTCACTGCCCGAGCCGCTCAGGCACTCCCAGCATTAGTTTTTATGTATGTATATGCATACACTTTTTGAAGTGATGTAGTCACTATTTGAAGTGATGTAGTCACTGTCTCATCACCAATGAGACGTTCAAATATTTTTATTCCAGTTAATCTAACATTTTATAACTGATGGTCACATTATGTTTCTCTCATATTTATTTTTTTTCCTTCTATTGGAAGCTTGCTGGTGAGAAGGCAGGAGGGATACTCCAGTTCAGCCTGGCATGTGTGTATCAGTCAGGGCCCGGCCCCTGAAGTAGAACCAGAACCAGGATTTAATTCAAAGAACGGGTTCGTCCGCTTGTGAGCACTGGCTAAGCAGGCTGTGCGGAGGGCGCGCTTCCACAGGAGACTGTTGTGGGGGGCAGGGTGATTGGAGAGAAGAGCAGTTGCTGTCTGGGGTTGCGAGGTCAGGGAAGTTCGAAGCCCGCTCTGAAGGCCCTTCAACTGATGAAGTCTGGCCCACCCAGGACAAATCCTGTCTTCCTATGTCCGAGTTTACTCGTCAGGGGCGTTAATCACGCCTGCACAGTCGCTGCCCAGCAGCACCTGGGTTAGTGTTTATGCTGCACACTGGCTACTGACTTCCCTTCATCCTCCACTCTCCTGAAGGAATCCACCGAGATGAACATTAGTTAGTTAGTTAGTTAGGGGGTGGGCTGTCACTCAGCCTCGCCTCACTGACGTAGTACAGAGCCATCACCCGTCTGAGCGAGTTGCTGGGACTTCGAACTTTCAGAAGGGTGTTCCCTCTTGCAGTGAGAAACAATTTATATAGATTTCACCTTCCTGGCTTTTCTAAAACCGGAAGTCGTGGCTTTTGAAGCGGCTAGGTCGGAGGGATCGCAATGGGGTTTTCTGTGAAATTCCTCCACGCTTCTCATTATTTGGCGCCAAAATATTAATTTTCATCTGGAATGTGTGTTAGCGTGTCATCTTGTAGTCAGGGTGATTCCCCCATGGTGCTACTGTGACACAAACATAGGCCTCTAGGTTCTGATCCTTCCACTGATAAACATGAAATTCAAAAATGTTTATTTGCAGTTTTGTCCCAAGGGATAAAATCCTAGAAATTCTGACACTGGATCAACTTCTTACTGCCTCAAAAGAAGACAGACTGATGAGCATTTTCTCAAGTTTAAAGGAAACTCTAAATCATCTAGTCAAAAGTTCATTTATTTTAGACAATGGACAATTTCATTTCGATCATCATCAAGGACTGAAGTTCATGAGAGATTTATTTAATGCTCTTCTAAGGGAAACCCCAGGGAAAAATAAGACCGAAAATAATTCAGAGTTTCTTGCGGCCGTGAGTCAGTTGCTTTTCCACACAAACAGCTCTGAGGATCTCCTCCATCTCAGTCACAATCTTAGGTCAGCTCTCCAGCTTGTGAGAGAAAGTTCTACAGAGGTAGCACGTCTCCTGGACGTGCTTGTACACTCTCCTCATGAGGGTTCCCGTGACTTGTATCCTACACTCCAAGAAGTTATACTTTCCAATCTAACTAGTTTGCTTTCCTTCATAAATAATTCATTCCCTCTAAGAAACAGGGCAACATTAGACATTACCAAGAGATTGCTTGGTGTTATCTCAAGAGTTGGTGGAGAAAGTGATGCCCCAGAGCCTCTTTTGGAGATGTCTGATACCCTGACCATGCTGGTGAGGGACATTGCTGAGATGAGAGACCTTGCCACCTCGGTGACCTCTGCTGTGGAGCTTCTGGGGCTAGCCACGAGAGTTGCCCGGAAAGTGGCCACCATATTTGAAACTCATTCCATCCCCAACACCACTGATGCTATGAAATTCTTTGACAGTCTCTATACTGTTTTGCGACAAAGTGTTCGAAATGTTGTGAGAAAAATAGGTACTTTGAAGAACGTAGACCATTTCACATCAGAAAATATAAGCAACTTGTTGACACCATTTCTTGACTTGGCTTTTGGGATGATTGGGGTCAAACCTAATATTTTGCAAGACTCTGATGTTAACGTGTCTGCAAGCACATTCTCATATATGAACCAGTCCAAGGACTTTTCTGATATTTTGAAAGAAATCACTGAATTTTTAACTTCTCTGAAAAGCAGTTTGGGAGACATGGAGCATCTTGTGGTAGCTTTTAATAACGGGACCCAAATATTTGCGATGGATTCACTCAGCGTATGGGAAGAAGTTTTGGATTGCTTAGTTCCTATAAATAATATCATCAACCAGATAGACTTCTTACATCCTAATCCACTTCCCAATGATAGTTACCCTCAAGATACAACGTGGGAAAGAACCCAGGAAGTGATCCTGTTTTTGGATGAAATGCTATCACAAGACATCATCGGAATTGGGACTTATTTAAGAAGAATGATTGATCTCACCTTGGAAGCTCTTTGGAGTGACTTAGAGAAGGATGACTGGCATGTCTCTAATCTGTGGCTGGCATTTGCTCAGCATCCAGATAACCTTTTGAAAGCCATAAAAACAGCTGGGGAGGTCTCTGGTGGAAGAGATGGCCTGAGTGGACCTTTGTTTTCCAACATGTCTCTGATTCAGAATGTAACTCATCAACAGCTTAAAGAAGCAGTGCAGATCGTGTTAAAGAGAATGGCTCTCTTGAGGAAGGAACTTCCCCTAGATAACTCTCAGTGGATAAATGCCACGAGAACTTTGTTCCAGCCCATTTTTGAGAGTCTTGTTCATGTAGCCACTGGGAAGAAGATCACATTGGAAAAAGGAGAGAGGACCAAAAAGGTGGTGGCTGGTTTTCCTTCCATTCTCCAGCTGTCATCAAGTTTCAAGCAATTCCTGAAGGGATTAATTGCATTGATTGAGTACTGGCAAGAGGTCCCGTTGATGGATCAAAGGTAATGAAACCCCCGATTCACTTCCTTTTTGCTCCCTTGCAGTAACTGCAAAACAGGACCCTGCAGGAATGGCCTAGAACCAGGTAAGGTATGGTTCTGGACTTCATCTCGATTGCACGCTGGAGTCAGTTCTGACATCCAGTGACTCGAGTCTGGTGTCTTCGTGACTTGACTTGTGATTTGGCATTCCCATATGTTTTGGATTTATCCAGCAGTGTTTGACAGTACATTATTCCTTTTTCAAAAGTAAAAACTTCTTGTTCTCTTCGCTTGTCCAGAGCTAGGTGCATACACAGTTTTTCTGTTTCTATCCTCTGGCTGCCAAAGATCTCTCTGTTTGGTAGACAGGTAAGAGTGTAAGACTATATGCAGTCCATGTAGAGAACTGTGCTTTCAGCTGTAACCACCACTGGGAAGGGACAGGCAGCTCTTGGTTTCTTTTCTCTTTAAAGATTTTACGTTATCTCTGCACCCAACATGGGGCTCAAACTTACAACCCCATGATCCAGAGTCATGCACTCTACTGACAGCCAGCCAGACGCCCCAGCTTTCTCCCTCTTTAGGTTCAGCCCAACACTGTGGTTGATCCAGCTCCAAGCTCTGCCCCCATGTCTGAGAGACAGGTGAGGGGAGCCCTGCTCTGATCCTGTCACTCATCGTGTTCTGGAAGTTTCTACTGCTTCAGGTTGGAGGATTTGTGTCCTGGGTGTGCAGAGTCTCTGAGACACTGCTCTGTCCCAATCCTTCCTTCTTGTGTGTGACAGTACCTTTGGATGGCCTGTGGTCCCTGCCTGCTCCTACCTTTCTCCTCCCACGGGGAGACTGGAGGTGCCACCAAACCCTCACTCATCTGCCAGAGAGTTTGACCTGTTTTCTGCTGGTTCTGTTGCAATAGGGCAGTGCCTCGATCCAGCCGTTTTTTATAACTTGGCAGGATTTCCTCGGTTAGTGAGACAAGGGTCTCCTGGCTTGAAGAACTATCACTCCTTTGACATTCGCATGCTGCCTTCCAGAGCTTCTTGCTTCACCTCTGCACTGCCTCTGATCCCACTCCCCACTGTGTGGGACAGTACACTCTGCTCTGAGTTTCCGAGTGAGCTGGAGGCTGTCTTGGCAACACGTATACTCCACCAACACCAGTTTTCATCAGATGTTTCTGGTTCTCCGGGGAGGGCATTTATAACATCCACCAAGGGTAGGAACGAATGGGCTATGGACTGACTGTGTGGCCGACACCTGGTCACTAAGCTCACAAGGCTACTTTCCCTGTGTCCTCCGCTTAGCGATTACTTGCTTTCCTTCTCTCTGTTTTCACTCTTCTTATCATCGGCTTCTTCCATGGGGAAGACACAGAATGTCCCCAGTAGGCCATCAGATTGCTCATGGGTTTGAGGTCTGATGGAGCCCTTCTCTCTGTGGTGGGAGCTCATGGGGCCAGCAGCTCACGTGAGAGCAGGTGTCCTGGCCCATCTCCTACCTGCCTACCGAGGGCCCACGGTCTACCAAGATGCCCAGGTGATTTGTGAGTATGCTCTAGGCTTTCAAACACCACATTCCTCATACTGGGGGCTGGGAAGCCCAGATTTGGAGCAGTTCGATGTCTTACCCAATACAACACACCCACATCACGAGGGAGATGGTGGCCTTTGGTGTCTGTACAGAAAATGAAATCATGTTCCTTTTGCTTCCAGGTCCATGATCTTTTAGGCACAACTAAAATGTAATAATTAAAATCCCACAATTTACCAAAGTATGCACTACCAGATGGTGACCATTACACAGCTCTACACACCATCATGTTTGATTTGGCCCAGAAATGACAATGATAAATGTTTGTCTTTCTGTGGCACTAAAACCCAATTCAGGAATAACTGTTTCCTGCCCCCAAAATATCCACCAATTCCACTGTATTTTTATTATACCTAAAAATAAAACCTCTCCATTTTGTTCTCTATTTTAGAGCAACCCACTGCCCTTGAATCTGGCTTCCCGAGAGGATTTTGTATTATTTTGCCTTACCTTCAAAAGCATCAAACAATGTCAGATCCTCTTGAATCTGCAATTAGCTGGTATAACTATGAAGAAACCCCACCTTTTTTTAAAATTTATTCATTTATTTGAAAGAGAGTGCACAGGAGGGAAGGGTGGGGGGGGAGAGAGAATCTTAAGCAGACTCCACACTGGTCATGGAGCCCGATGCAGGGCTCGATCTCGAGACCCTGAGATCCTGACCTGAGCTGAAACCAAGAATCAGACGCTCAACCAACTGAGCCACCCAGGCGTCCCAAAACCCCAGTTTTTAATCACCTCAAGGATGCCCACACCCCAGGCAAAAGTGTACAGAATCAGTAAAGTCATTCTCGTCCTGATAAATACACACACACCACCCCCACGCTGAACCTTCCACATTAACATGTGATAACCGTGTTCTCTAAGGACTGGTGGGATTCCCAACCACGGACAAACAATACCCTGTCTGGAGAATATCCACGTTTGCCAGGACAGGTGGTGGTCCCCGGTCCCATTAGGTGTGTTGAAGCAAGTGGCTCCTTGGCCGTTTGGAGTCAGCTCCAAAAAGCAGGATGGATTTTAAACTTTTTATTTTTTCCAGAAGCTTTCATTCTTGGGGAAAGTAACTTTAAAACAGCACACTGTAGGAACATTGCCTTGAATTTAAACATGCAAACAAACCCTGTTCTGGTGGTCACAGTGTTCTGGAGAATTCCGAGTGAGGGGCGGACTCAGGCTCGTGATGTCGCCATGTCGGTCCCCTCGGCGTGCGAGCGCGCGCTTGACTTAACCCGGTTGACTCAACACTGAGTTTCCAGAAGCCGAGAGGCTTGTCGATCTCCAGGCCTCAGCAAGGATGTTCCTTTTCAAGGAATTTTGGGGAATTTCCTTGGGTAGTTGTACCCTTCATCGGTCGATGTGACCCAGTGTCCAAAAGAAAAAGAAAAGAAAAAGAAAAGAAAAAAAAAAAGAATATACACACACTTGGATGAACTCCTTGGCAGGTGCTTCACAGGTCCTGTAACTTACATACTCAGTTCTGTCAGACGTTGAGGATAGTTTTGAGTTTTGGAAACAGTGTCGGCTCATTTAAGTGTGACACAAAAGCCATTCAGGGTTCAAGAAAAAATTCCCGAGCCCTTTTGGCCAGCGGCGTGATGGCAGAGCTGAGCACGAGCCCCTGCTGTGTGGGGGCTCTCAGCCCGTCCAGAACCGCCGCCGTGGTGGGCCAGCCCTCAGCAGCCGCCTCCGTGACCCTCTGCAAAAGTAACGGGCTGTGACTGACGAGTTCTGGGAACTACATGGCATAGCTGGGGTCACAAAATGAGGCCACAGATAGAAAAGAGTGCCGGCTGGGGGTTCTGCCTTTCTTGGGGCCGAGGGTGGGAACCTAAGGTTTTCTAGGCTCTTTCTCTCTATTGGTGAGTTTAAAGCCTAAGAGAAGGCACTTCAAGTGCAGGAAGAGGAAAAGTGATGGGTGGGAACGGGCAGTTATCAAAGTCAACCAGGATCTTTCAAATAGAGGCGCCTCTGTGGGGTGTGGCTGGTAATGCGTGGTTTTGAGATACCTTCGAAATGCATGCATTTGCCACTAAAGTTTGCACTGGGCACCTGCTTTACAAAAGGAAAAACCAGCCTTTAGTACTTTACACCATTACTGCTTAGTAAAACATTGGTCTGGACGCCGTTATCCCAACACCACCATTGGACCCCATGAAGACCAACACACACGCAAACGCACGCACACACACGCATGCAAACACACACACACACACGCATGCATGCTATACCCATTTTGCTGAAAGATAAAAAACTTACATACTCATTCATCCACTGCTGTGAATTCTCTGTACATAAATAGTAAACCATAAGATTTCTTTCTACTGGCTTTCTCCGCTCCCTTTCTCCCACCCTTGGCCCCAAGGAAGGCAGAACCTTTGCATTTGAGAACGGATCAAGGCAAGGAAAGGGCAGATAGTTGGCTTCCTAGCCCTGGAATCGATGCTTCCAGAGCAGGGGACCCAGTGTTTCTGAGAGGTCTGGATGGCCACCTGTGTGTCTGCGGTCTGTCGTGGAGGGGGACAGTGACGACTTTCTGTGTACAGCAGGGATGCACACGGCTTGCCGATTTTCTCCCTTTCATGCCATTGTCTGTTTTTTCCCTTAGTGTGGAAATGTGTCAAATTTTCCAGCAGCTTCAGAACCCCCCAGAAGCCATCGTGATCCTGCAGAAAGTGACGGTGCTGGTTCTCCGTGTGTTCAGCATCTTTGCAGGTGGGCTGTGCATGTGCAAGGGCTGCATGTTGTCCCGTGCAGGCTTTCAGGGACCTGCTGTCCAAGGGATGGGAAGATTACCCCTGACTTTCTCTTAGAGGCCTGTGCGGCCTTCTTAGCCCCTGAGCTGGGCTTTGGTCTGCATCTTTGCTCCTGGCACGCGTGTCCTTGTCTCCCCAACCTGAACTCCAGCTGGACTCTGTGACTCAGAGCAGAGGGCAGCTCTTCTAGAAGGATGACCTCCCTCTTTCTCCGCCGTCAGGGATGCTGAGCAGACCTCTGTTAAACGCAACTGTAATGCCGTAGCTTCCACGCCTCCCTCTCCTAGAGTTGGTGCTGTTAGGCCTGAGGGTGCAGAGACAGTGGGTGCGGGGACAGTGGGTGCAGGGACAGTGGGTGCAGAGACAGTGGGTGCGGGGACAGTGGGTGCGGAGACAGTGGGTGCGGGGACAGTGGGTCCAGAGACAATGGGTGAGGAGACAGTGGGTGCGGGGACAGTGGGTACAGGGCAGTGGGTGTGGGGACAGGACCAGAGTCCAGGAGCGGAGGATCTGAGCCTCCCCTTCTGCAGGGCTGCACCTCCCCCTCCCCCAGGTGGCTGCCCAGGTAATCACTCTAAGGCAAAACCCAGCTCCATGCCCACAGGAAGGGGAATCAGCCCGCATGGGGTGGGGGCTTCAGGATCAAACAGGCTGAGCCCCGGTCCTGCCTGGAAGGTTCCTGCTGAGCCCTCTGGAGTGGGAGCCACGCTTGATTCAAAGCACAGGTAGGAGGAGGTACATAAAAGCAGACAGGGACCCAGGCTGTCTCCCTGGGCCTTGTGTGCTATGGGTGCCCCCTCCCCCCACACTTGGCCACCCCTCGCAATGCAAGCTGAGGATGAGAAATAGTAATTTAGGGACCAGCACAGGGATCGTTTAGGCTGAGAAACAGGGAAAGGGGATGTGTGCACACATGCATGCGTGTGCGTGTATGTGTGTGTGCGTGCGCGCGTGTGTGTGCCACAGAGGTGGGGACACATCTGCCGATGTAAATGAAACCCCAGCTGGCATGTAGATCTTTCTCCTTTTTTTAAAAAGAAAATCTCTACTCCTGATTCGAGATGCTGTGAACGATGGCAAAATTCTGTTGACTTACCAAGCGTTGAATATCTGAGCACACCCTAGGACAGGCCACACATGTTTTCATGCTCTGGTCAATCGCAAATCACACTTTTTTCCTGCGTCCCCAGTGCTCACCTGACATTGGGCCCAGCCGCCTTCAGACGCAGAATGATTCGGACATTTCTCAGTCAAGATGTAATGGCTGAAGTCTAATGTGATGACTTTTAAATGAATTTGATGTTCATTGTCAGCTGGGTTTATGTTTACTCCGCCATTCTGCAGTGCAGCCCCTAAAGGAAGGTTGCAGACTTGACATTAGGTTTCGTTGGTGACAGAATTAATTTTGGATTTGTCTGTTTCATTTCAAGAGAACTCAGGCATGCCTGGGTTTCCTTCAGACCGTCGTCCACTTTCCTTATTAAACCGTCATGCATTTCTGGAATAGGAGGGGACCGTGACAGGCGGGGACAGGTGTAAGCATCGGCCAGCGATGATTGGGGGTGGGGGGCCAGAAGGGGCGCTGGCTCTTGTCCTCTGACACAAAAGGAGTAGCACTCAGACCGGTGATGGTTACTCTTGGAAATGGAGTATTTTCAGGACCCAAGTCAAATTCGGTGTCATCATGAGGACAGCTGTCATTTTTGTCCTCCAGATCTGATACCTGAAATCTGTGAGGATATCTGCACGAGGGCACGGGGTGTGGCCTGGTAGGTTCCCTGAACCAGAGGACTTGTCTTCTTCGACCTTCTGGTGTCCCCAGTGGGTACACTGAGGCCCAGACAGTGGCGGTGGGTTGCCCGGGACTGGGAGTGAAGGAGTCAGGGCGTATGGTGGAGCAGCCTGTGGGACTGGGGAAGGCGGGGTGTGGTCTGGAGAGGGGGTGGGACTGCCAAGCCAGAGCGGGGCTCTGACGTGTCCCAGAGCCTGGAGGCGCCCCTGTAGGTGGGTGGGAGGAGCCAGGGCTTGGAGCTGGGTCTGCAGAAGCAGCTTGAGGCGCAGCAGGCGTGGACAGGAGTGTGGAGGGAGAGGCTCTTGCAGGCGTGTGGGTTCCCGGCCTCGAGGATGGTCCCTTCAAGGGTGTGCTAGAAGCAGGGGCAGATCTGACAGACCCACACATCCTCCCTGACCAACCTTCCAGCAACGCCAGGCCCCGGTCCCCACCTTCCCACTTCCTCGGTTTACCAGGAAAGCAGAGGGTGGACCCAGTCATTGCCTAAATCCATGTGGTCAGGGAGTCCCTTCCTGGAGCGTCTGGCCCTGTTAGGTCTGGGTGACATAGCTCCCGAACACGTTGTCCTGTCTTCTCCAAAGCAGAGGCTCCTTTTGTCCCCAGAGACAAATGCTGGTGCACTACATAGCACGTTGCACCTTTTGTTTGTGTTTTCATAGGAGATTGCTTAAGAGACACATTTTGCATTTTTTACTGTAAAGAGATCTGTTTTCAAAGTCAGAGCAATAGTGACATTGATGAGAAATTAAACCAATGAGGAGGGTTGCTTCTGAAAAGCATGACTTTGGGTGTATCCTGTGCAGTCGGCATTCTGTGTGCAGTTGACCCCTGTGTGACGTGGGCTTTGGGGCCGCCACCCCCTCGTGCAGTCAGAAATTCTTGTATAATTTCTGATGTGCCAAAACTTAACTACTAACAGCCTGCTGTTGACCGTATCCATAATATAGACAGTCAGTTAACACATGTTTTATATGTTCTATGTATTATAGACTCTATTCTTTTTAAAGTTTATTTACATAATCTCTACATTCAACGTGGGGCTTGAACTCGACCCTGAGATCAAGAGACCCAGATCCACTGAATGAACCAGCCAGACCCCACACCACCACCATACACTGTATTCTTACAGTAAAGTAAGCTAGAGAGAAGAAAGTGCTACTAAGAAAATTGCCAGAAGGAGAAACTGCATTTGCAGGCTGTCCTGTAAAAAATCCATGCATGTGGTAGACTCATGTGGCTCAAAACTGTGTTATTCAAGTGTCTTTAGGAGTTCAAAACAGTTTTTAAAAAATTACTTTGGAGAAACAATGTAATAATGTTAAGCAGAACTGGTTTTTTTTTTTTTTTTTTTTGCTAAGCTGAAAAAAAATTATTTTAAAGTTTTTGCTACTCCTGGCAATACATTTCATTTTGTATACAGCAAGACCGCAATGTTTACCAGGCATCTGCTAGCTGCAGAGGTGTGTGCTAGGAGCAGGCGGTGACCTGGGACAAGACTCGAGCAGAGGCCCTGGATGGGTGGGGGCAGCATGCATTTACCTGCTAGGGGTGTGGCAGGGCGGGCTCAGCGCTGGCAGGAGGCAGGTGTCCTGAGGCAGAGCTCTGAAAGACAGGGTCAGGAGAGGCTCTCTGGGCAGGGCAGGAGGTGCAGGTGGCTTTGGGGAGTGGGGAGGAGTCCTGGGAATGAGCAGGGATGGGGTGTGACTGGTGGCTGCACAAGGCTGTGGATACTGCCCCATGCTTTGAACAGATTCCTATTTTCAACACAAAATGAACAAATCTTTTCAAAATTGTGCAAAAAGGAAGACAGTTTTATTCGAACCCAAGTGAGGGCAGCTGCCCAGATACACAGTCTGCCCAAGGAAGAGGGTGCTCCCAGGAAGGAACTTGTGGTGTAGGTGTTACAGGATTTGTGTCATCTCAGTGCCCGTGGCTCTTGTTTGCTCTGCTTCGAAGAAGGAAGAGGTAGACCAGAGCAAGAGTGATGGGAAGCAAAGCACAGTTTACTGAGCAAGAGCATAGAGCTCCCGGAGAGGGAGGAGGGTTCTGAGAGGGTTGCCCCTGGAGTTTCTAAGTTTAGGGACTTTTATGAGCTCTTTTGGGGAACTTTCTTAAGCAATCAGGGCATGCTGAGTCGTGCCAACCCGGGCTTTGGTCACGTATCTGTCTATCTATTAGGTTCATGCCCACGTGCTGATGGTCTTTTTCTGCTGACATCTGTGGGCTAGGTCTTAACTGCCCCTCACCCGTGATACTGACAATGTTTTTGTGGTTGTCTTATTTTAGGATGTTTTGCAGAATTCATTTCTGCAAAGGCTGCAAAGCAGAATGTCAGTGTGGTCTTGTGTACACTGCAGAACAGATGCTAGTGCTGTTTGATCTCAGCTGTCCTGATTCCCTATTTCCTTGTTGCGGACCCTGGCCCTGATCACCTGACTATCCCACTCACTCCTAACCCAGGGTTGTATGTTTCTTATTACATCAGTTCCAAAGCATCATGAGGAAGGATGTTCCGGAAAATTACAAACTCAACCTTCAGCTATTAGTATGTGCAAGGTTGTAAGATTTGGAAGTATGGGTACCTAGGGAGATTTTTACTCATATCTTTAGTCTGAAATGTTTCTTTTTGGTCATTTGCTAAGGAAGCAGGTGTACCATGTGTGCCAGGGCAGAAATAGAGCCCCCTCTTTGAGGTCTGGTGAAGTCCTCCGTGAAGTCGCTCGGACCTTGGTGAACGTTGATGTACAGCTTCCCTGGGAGCCTGGGAGCAGGGCTCACCAGTGGGAAAGGTTGGGAATTTCCTTTGTCATTAGAACCAGCCATGTCCCATTAGGAGGAGCCCTGTGACTCAGAGGTGAAGATGAATTGGGGGTTGGGCAGGGAATGGAGAGCCGTGGGAGGTGTTAGGAGCAGGTGGAGAGATGGGCTGGGAGGTGTGAAGTAGGGGACAGTTGTGGGGAGGGCCTCAAACTGACCATGTGAGTAATGCACCCCTCAAGCTGAGGCACCTTGGGGAATCAAAGACGGCACTGGTCACAGCTACTCCCAGGCCATTAAGGAAGCCAGGGCCATCCTGGGCAGACCTGGTGAACGAGGTCCCTTCCCAAAGGGCTACGAAAGGACGCGCCAGCGTGGGGAGGTGGAAGGTATTAATTTCTGTACATTCAGTTACTCCCAGAAAAACACCAAATTCCAGGAACTCAAAACCACAGCTTCCCTTTCATATTCTGAAAGTGGATTTTGAGGATTTAAGAAATATTCATGAATTTGTCATCCTTTTGGGTCTTTCAGAAATGACTTGGGGAGAGCCCTTCACTGGGGAGAAGACCGTTTACCAATGATGTGTCCGTGTGCTTCCTCCGACAGAAAACCCTTCCTTGACCAAGGACATGCTGTGTGCTGCTCTGAGCTGCAAGCAGGGTGGGATGCGGCGGCTGATCATACCTGCTCTCCAGGGGGCCGCCCTGATGCATGACCACTACCAGGTTTGTCTTCTGCTACCGTCTTCCTCGTGCCTGGCCACGCGAGGCAGTCTGCTCACACCCAGCGTGCTGGCTGTGTCCCTGTAACCACACAGCTGTGTTGGCTTGGCCACTCCAGAGGTTAGCCCATGGCCCTCCTCCCCTGGCTTCTGCCGAGTGAAACCGGCATGTTCCGTGTTCAGGACTCCAGCAAGCAGGTTCTTAGCCTCAACGTCGTTGATAAGCCAATGATAAGGACATCTATGAGAGTAAGTTGTGTGCAAAATGAAGGTTCGTCAATATCTAATTATTTTAGTGCGGTTTAAAAAAAAGATTTTATTTATTTGAGAGAGAGAGCAAGTACAAGCAGGGGAAGCAGCAGGGGGAGAGGGAGAAGCAGGCTCCCTGCTGAGCAGGGAGCCAGACGTGGGGCTCGATCCCAGGACCCTGAGACCATGACCTGTGCCGAAGGCAGACGCCCAGCTGACTGAGCCGCCCCGGTGTCCTGTGGGGGTTTTGCTGCTGACCGGGTCCTTGAGCTGGCTCCCACCTCCTGCTCCTGTGCAGTGGGAGCACCTTACACGCCGCCGTTCCTCTCTAACCAATTCTGTGTTCACGGATGTCGCCTTGGTGGCTCGAGCGAGGTCACGGTGACACCATTTATACCATGGAAATTGGCAAATTCTACAAATAAGATCTTTCTCCCCCGAGAGCTAGTTATTAAACACTGACCAGCCCACCGTGGGTTTTGACTTAGCACACACGGGTGAGCACCGAGAGCCCTTTGCCGTATGGGGACCAGCCTCAAGGCTTCCTTTTATGGGCTTGGATAGGAGCCCAGTGAGCAGCCACGTGGGGCCTTGAGCTGGAGCTGGGCCCACAGTCGTGCCTTTTGCCCACGGCCGGCTCCCTTCCCCTGGGAGCCAAGGCCATGGGGCCCACTGGCAGACCTGACCTGCTGGGGAAGGGTAGAGGACAGCGATGTCAGTCTGGCGACAGACTGAGCACCTTCCTTTCTAGAAGCGCCTGACCTGGATGTCGTTAGTGGCTTTTGTGTTCCAGCAACGCCACCTGAACACGTGTCTGGGGAAGGCTGCATGGTCCCAGCAGGCCGGGAGAAGGGTGCTGTGGAAGGAGGTGGGAGGTGGTCAGGCTACGCCCCTGGACACTGTGCGGGGAGAATGTGAGCGGGTGGTCCCTGTATCGGACTTGGGAAGAGTCGTGACCCAGCACTCTTCCCTCAGGACACTGATTTATGAGACCATCCAAATCTTATCTCCGGGTTGCGCAGATCTCTGTCCTGTATTAAACGTAGACCCATAAAAAAACCAGACAGACACCTCTTGAGTGCCGAGTGGTGTTTGCAGTCATACAGGAAGGCGAGCACGCCCGCTTTCAAAGCTGCCTCGAAGGCTCCCTTCGTGCTTCCAATTCCTAGTGGCTGTCAACAGCTTGGGCTGCCAACAGTTAGGTCCGTCTGGAGAGCAAGCAGGAGTTCCTGTGTTTGATGACAAAAATAGGACTGGGCTGATCTCAGGGTGCGAAGCCTCTAGGACGGCTCAAGGTTTTCCAGAGTGCGAGGCTTTTAGAAACAGAAATGCTCCCAGGCTCCGGGGTGTGAAGTGCTTGGTGCCCCGCAGGGGTGAGCCAAAGGCACAGCTATTTTTAGTTTTCCGGCATCTGACAGAACGTTCTGACAGAGGGTTGCATCGGTGCCAACGAGGCATCGCACCGGAAGAGAGTGCCCTGGCACTTAGTGGTGGAAGACAGCGGCAGGGAGCTAAACAGAGATCAGAAAAAAATTACGTTAAATTAAGATGCGCGTGCCCAGTGAGTCGAGATGTGGAGCATGTGGCTGAAACCCAGGTTGGGTGTCCAACCCTCTCCCCAAGTCTAGCCCTTTGGACCCACCTGTGGCCTGCATTGCCTCTGCAAAGCATGCTGGGTGCACCTCCCTGACCAGTTCCTATAGACCTCCGGTGGTCAGACCCTGACTTGTGCACTTGGTGGCCTGATCCTGTCCCCAAAGTCCAGCCTTGTGGATGTCAGCCTCAGTCTTTGCACCCGACACTCCTTGCACGGAGCCCAGAGCGTTTGTGACAAAGGAAGCCAGAACTCACCTTCCAGTGTCCTTGCTGCTGGGACGGGACGTCCACTGTCCTTCTCCACAACCCCACGTATTTCAAACTTATTGTGTTGCTAAAATTAAGAATAAATCCATAGTGGGAATATTAAAAATGAGTAGAATTACATGAAACTGGCATAAAATTACTGAATTCTGAACTAAAGGCTCTTTTCTAGGCATGAAGGCATTTTGGGGCAGAGCCCCGGGGCAGTGGGCTTCATTCATCCTCTGTTCTCAGAAGGGAGTTGTACCCCTCGTTCTGACCCAGGGGAACCCGTGCACCTGTGTGCTAGGCAAAGGGTCCTCCACAGGGGGGAATATTGACTCGGGACCGGGTGTCCCCCCACCCTCCTTGTCCAATGGCTGTCTGTTGGCAGGCGTCCTCCCCGGGTTGCAAGCCTCTGGGAGGCGGGTGATGAATGAATGGATGATTGGATGGACAGCTCTGTAGGATTTCTGTTCAAGTTTCACCACCCCCCCCCAATGACTGGGAAAATGTGAACTTGGAAAGGGACCCATAATCCTGGGCAAGTTAGTGGGTGGGTATCCGGTGTGTGGTGGTCTGCTGGCTGGGTGGGCTCCCCCGTGACACAGTTCCAAGGTGCTGCTGGTGGCGTGAGTCTGGGTGCCCCGGTCCTGTGTCACTGCCCCCCGTGAGGGCTCCCCTGTTACCCTGGGAACTCCTGGGTCCCCAGGCGGGTTCTGCTCGGCTGTGTCCGGTGACTCCAGGGCTGAGGTACTGTTCAGTATCTTCCACGGTTCACTTTCCTTGGGAATTCGATGTCTTAGGTCTCTCTGACCAGCGAAATGATTCATGGTTTCGTTTGTAAGAGAAACTGATGGTGGTTTTGAGGGAAATTTTTACGCGTTGTGTTGAGCAGAAATACTACATAAGGGTAGACTTACATTTGATTCCTTTCTCGCCTTCATTGGCAGAAGCTGGGGCCGCGCTTCCGCCCTCAGGAAGAGTTGGGGGATGTCAAAAAAATAAGATGACATAACAAAATTCTGGCGATGTGGCTCAGTTCTGTGCAGCAGAATTTCTGTGTCCAGGGAAGGCACTGGGAAGCGTGTCTGTACACACGCCGACACATGGGCTGCTTTTCCAGCTCTTTTCAATTTTATGTTACTGTTCATCACTCGATTTTACATGCGATGAATGTTTTGCATTTTATAGGTATTTTATATAGGTATTACTCTATTTTGTGTGTGTGTGTGTGTGAGAGAGAGAGAAACGATTGGTATTTCATAAGGTTGAATCATGCTTCAAAGAAGATGCTAAGACAGGGGCGCCTGGGGGAGGCTCAGTGGGTTAAGCGTCTACCTTCAGCTTAGGTCATGATCTCAGAGTCCTGGGAGGGAGCCCCGCATTGGGCTCTCTGCTCAGTGGGGACCCTGCTTCTCCTTCTCTCTCTGCCCCTCCCCCCTGCTTTTGCTCTCTCTTTCTCAAAAAAGAAAAGAGGATGCTAAGGTAGCCAAGGACCCTTAGAATTGGGCCTAGACCGGGGGTCTCACTGTGCTCCTCACCGAGGGGTGGCAGGGACCTTCAGGGCAGGGGAGACCCAGGTCTTCCCCACGGTTTCTATGGACAGCCACACACGATTTCTTCTCAGGAGTGAGCTCTGTGGCTGGGAATGCTGCAAAGGTTCAGTTTTCAAACCAGGAATGAATGAACTCTGGTCGCCAGCTGGACGGTGCTCCTTCTCTGGCAGGCCTTGGAGAGCACGCCACCCCGCCTGGACCGTGCGAGGCCGAGCCAGGACTAAGAGGCGGGATATCCTGGCGTCCAGCCAAGGGCTCCTTCTGCTGCTCTGCAAGGGGCAGGCACTATTAGACCTGCTGGGATGTCCTCAGTCTCCAACACTATGTTTGCCCAGGCGGAGGAGGCGAGCAGAATGCTTGCATCGTACGGAGTCCTCGGGGTGGGCTCGGGGGCACACATTTACCCAGAAACCAGGCACGAGCCTCCATGAACAAGTGTGTGTATTTCTAACTGGATCTCTGCTGTTTTCTAGGAAATGCAGAAGATGTGGTCCTCACCCCCTCAGCTCAATTGTGAAGGTCTCAGCAGGAATCTTTCTAGCTCCTTGGAAAGCCTCAGGAACAGCCTGGAGCACGCCGCCGACCGGGACTGTGAATGCCGGCCGCTGCCGGACCTGGCTCTGCAGCGTGTGCGCACGTACGTATGTCCCGGGACCCCCTGCCCGCCCCCGTGTTTTCCTTCATAAGAAAGTTGTCTTGAGTTTCTGAATTTCAGTTTGTCCATCTTGGACCATGATGGGTGCCACATACAGTGTCTAGACAGCAGCAGAGTTTTCCACGGCTGGAAGATTTCAGTGGTGAAATATACGGGGGCATTCATGGGCGGGCTCGCTTTACTGATGAGCAAGATGTGAGATCCAAGATCTGACGCTGTAATACGGTGTTCAGTGTGTTTTGTCAGAGCGGGCAAAGATTCTTCAAATTCCCTTCTTATTGGGTTAATTGTGTCCTGTGTCCTCCATGTGCAAACCAGTGGAAGAGGAGATCACACACTCTGTATTCTGCAAAAAGACTTAGGCACAGAAAGAAGGGTCGTCGACTCCGTAATATCCCAACTTCTCACGCATTCCCTGATCTAGTCTCTCCATTCTCTCCACATTTATGAGAAGCCACTTACACTTCTTCATCCTCCCAACTCATCTGGCCTGGCCAGGGCCCCAAGGACACCGTGCTGGGATCGTGACAGTCATGGGCATCCCTGTGTGGAGGGCGTCAGGAGATGTGGTGTGTCTGATTGTCTGAAGAACGTTCTGGAAATGTTGATGTTATCCGGCTCATCTCCTGGGAACGGAGGCCGGATTGTTCACTCCAACCTTGTTTCTGGTGTTTACCTTCCCTACGTTCACTTTGATTTTCTGCCGTTTTAGGTTGGCCCAAAGCCTTGAGAAGACCTGGTTGTCCGGGAATCCCATGCTGACTCTTAGCAATTTCACAGTGACGGGGGGTAAGATATGTGTCCTTCAGCTCGGCTCAGTTACGAAGGAAGCGTGCTTTCTCCCACAAGTATGTTACTGAAGTAGAATGTACAAAGGGAAGGTTGCACTGTATGTGACAAAGTATTCAGAACTTGGCTGCTCTCATGTATTTGGGGTTAAGAAGGAAAGTTCTGGAATCCTGCGTCCCAAAAAGAAGCTTTTGTGTCATCCTGTCCCTGCATCCCTGGACAAGCCATGCGGTGTCTGTATGTCTCTGCTTTCCGTCTGCTCTATCTGTACAACTCATAGCACCAATATGCCACTTGAGAAGAGTTCTGGAAGCTCCTTATGTGATCCTCCTCCTGGTTAAAAAAAAAAAAAAGTAGGATAAGGAAACAACATAGAATGAGTCTTTCCAGGAGCCGGTTACTTCCCTATGAAAAAGGTCTTTGTAGAGTAAATCCTAAAATACACAAATCTTAGAGTGGTCAGGAGAGCAGGAAAGACCACACACCCTGGGTCTGTTTTATTTCGGTGTGAATGACCTCAGCTCCTCTAGGGTAGGGGACATGATGTCCTCCAGCGTGTGCTTTGGACCGGACGATCCTTGCCAGGGTTTAGCATGGATTTGTGTTTTCACAGTCAATATTAGCCACATGTTTATGATTACAGGATTTCCTTTTGATGATTTTTCAGATGTAAAAGTCAAAGATTTGGTGCAGAACATCTCCAAGCTAACCCACGAGCTTCAGTCTTCCATCCACATCTCCAACGAGACTATCCACAGCCTTCTAGAAGCCAGCATCTCCCGTTCACAGGTGTGGAGCCGATGCGCCTCTGTCCGTCCCCCCATCCCATCCCCTGCCGTCCCGGGGCCAGCCTGGCGCTGTGGTCTCTTGTCCCCTCCTCTCCCATCCTGTGCCGAGGGGCTAGCCACAGGCAGGTAGGACATGGGAGGGCAAGCCAGGAGTGAGAGGGTGTCTCTCTTGCATCAGAAACTTGGGATCTTTAATTTCATAACATTGTCTTATTAGGGTTAGAAAGGGTAAAATTGGCGATGATATTTATTCCCGTTATTTCTAGCCTTGATGCACGACACCCCCCGGAGGGTCCTGCTTGTTTAGGTAGGGGTTGCAGAATTCTCAAAAATATGTGAAAACAGAAACTCATAGAAAGCTCTAAACGTCAGCCGTGCTTGTCTTTAAGTCAAGAATACCCGTGTGCCGTCTGTGTGCAGAGGGGGTGGCTTATCACACAAGCAGGTAGGCGATGAGCTGTGTCCTGTCCACGATGGCCAGGACACAGGGTCAGCACATGGAGAGGGGAGGGGAGGCACGTGTGCTGGCTGGTGGTGGGTGCGGTTTGTGCACAGAGGTGGGGAGAGTGAATCCATGCCCCCCGCAGCTGGTATCACCGGATCCTTGGCTGTTGGTGAGATAGCTTTCCAAGCACTTCTAGTTGGCATCTATTCTCTCCACTGAGAACCTTCCGGAAGCAGTAACCATGAAGATGGCTCCCAAGTGGATGTTTTTTATTGACAATCTGTGGGGCCCCAGTAGACACTTAATTTCCTGTTGATTTTGGTTAACCAGGGCCCCGTGCAAGCTCTGGCAGGCAGATCAGTTATGGGCACACCTCACTTTAGTGCGCGTGGCAGACCCTCACAGATTTTAGGTTTCTGGCACCCCTGCATCGAGCAAGTCTATCTGTGCCAGAGTTTCAGCAGCATCTGCTCACATCACGTTTCTGTCGCATTTTGGTCATTCTTGTGATGACCTTTTTCATCATTATCGTGTTTGTTACCAAGACCTGGGAGCCGTGGTTGGGATTCGCCGAAAGCTCAGACGGCAGTTAGCGGTTTTGAGCAATAAAGCATTTTTTTAACCCAGAAATGTACTTTTTAAAGACACCGTGCTATTGCACACTTAGACTACAGCACAGAGCAAACCTATGTTTTACGTGTACCGGGAAACCAAAAAATTCATTTGATTCTCATTATCGTGATACTCGCCGTATTGGAGCGATCTGGGACTGAACCACAGGATCCCAAAGGTGCACATAGTGTTCAGCATTAACTGCATCAATAAAGACATCAGTAAGAAGCCGGGAACCCCGACTTCAGATTATAGTATCACCAAGTTATTTATGGTGAGTCACACAGTGTCTGTCTTCAAGGAAAAATCCTGCCGGTGGTTACTGAGCACCACATACAGATTGGGGGTTGGGGGGTTGGGGATAAGGTGGGTGCAGAGAACACGTCCTTGTACGTAAGCAGTGATTAGATTTGGTTTGAAATCTTCAGTTACTGGAACTTCTAGTGGGGGCGGGGAGTCCCTCCTGGGGTCCCTTGCCAAGCTTATAGGACTTGGGCTTCGGCTCAACGATTAAATATTTTTTAATTGCAGTGTAGCTGACCTGTAATATGAAGTTCTGCGTGTCGAGCACGGCAGGTCAGCAGTCACACGCATTACGAGACACTCGTCCCGACACGTCTGTCACGGTGTCATTAATTGTATCCTCTAGGCTGTACTTTTCATCCCCGAGTTATTCCTCTTGTAACTGGACGTTTGTACTGTGATCTTAATCCCTGTCACGCGGTTTGCCCATCTCTCCACCCATCTCCCCCTTGCAAATGAACAAACAAGAGGAGACCCCAGAAAAGAGAGGAACTTACTCCTAAATACAGAGGAGGAAAGGTGGGCTCAGCTCTGGGGATGGCGGCCGCCGGAGGCAGCAGGTGGCCAGCAGGTGTCACTGGCGCTCTATCCTGGAAGGGGCTGGGCTCACTGGCCCCAGCTGCTTTGCATTCCCACGTCTCCCACACTGTGGTCCCTTGAAGAGCTGGGCCAGTGGGTAACTGGGAGGTTGCGTGGCTCTTGCAAGCCTGCATTTCTGCCCTTCAACGAGATAACGAAGCTATCTGCTTTGCTCTCGAAACGTATCCATGGACCCACCTATGTCTACAAGGTCCTAGGGAAGGAATTCATGTTCAGGGAGGGGACTGCACTGTGGGGTCTGGTTTTTTCTGGACCGCCAGGCTGACGGCAGCACTGTGTTTTTGGTGGTAAGCTCAACGGCTTCCTCTCTGGGCTTGTCTATCCTACTTACCGTCAGTTTGCGAATCTGTCACATGGGCAGACTGCCAGAACCCGCATTCGTTTGTTCATTCATGGAAAAGCTCTCTTTCCACGAGGGGTTCTTTCTCAAGTGCTAAGGGAGCAAATGTTCCAGAACCTTCTATGGCAGTGGCACACAAAGACATAAATGTGCTGTATGGGGAAGACCCCATGTGCAGGTGACACGTCAGCGGTGGAGACGGGTTACGCAGGGGCTCAGGCAGCCATGACCAGAAGCCACGGGCTGTGAAGAGCCACATGGAGGAGGCCCAGGCTTGGACACCCAGGGCACAGGGCTGGAGGCAGGGAGGCAGGGAGACTGGAGGCACTGCCACTGATCTCAGGCCTCGGTTCTGGCTCTGGGTGCCTCGGGAAGTTCCCTCCCCGGCGGTGCTGCATTCTTCACCATGAAACCAGAATCACAGACCCGGGCATGTGGCGTCCACCTCGCCCACCTGTGTCCTGGGCAGCCCCTCCACCTGCCCTATGAGAGAGCAGGCATTTCATGCTGCGATGCCCTGTCATGGGCCTTAGATCAGCGGTCACTTCCTTCTCTGGATTTGGCCACATTTTGATTCTTTAAAATTGCAACGAGGTCTGAGTCAGGACCCAGGAAGACTGGGAGTCTGTCTCCTATCCCGTTATTTTCTTCTCCAGACAATGGAGTGTATCAGCACCAGCTGGGAAGACGGGCGCTGTCCATGGTCCTGAGCGGGTTCGTTCCTCCTTTGGGGGTTCTTGTGGAGGAAGGGGGGAGGGGGCCCCCAGACAGCCCTCATTGGGAAGGTGTTCTGAGACTTTCTCTTATTTCGCTTGGGCAGAGAGGCGTGCACCTCTCGTTTGAGGCTGGTTCTGTGGGCGTCATGAGCAGCTGGCCAGTGTGGTTTGGGAGCAGAGAGATTCCAGATGGGGATTTACCCAACAGCTCACATCCCATTTGTTGCAGCACATGGAGTTTGTCTCCTGAAAAGCTGCAAAACATTGTTCTTGGTGTGGCTCCCTCTGGGGTAGACAGCAGGTAAAATCGGCTTTTTCCAGCAACCACCCGCTGCAGGCCCCAGCTCCACCCCAGAGAGAAGACAATAATTACTGTGTGAGTGGTGTTGACGGTCTCTGGCCCACATGGAGGATTCTGGTCAGGCGTCCCCTGGAAGACATGGCCAGCTCTGTGGGGCATGTGATCCTGGAAGCTAAGTTTCCCCCAGTTCCTGCAAGGGAACCCATCTCTGGGCTTCATCCTGGATGTGTGGTCCTTTTAATCCAGATCTCTCTGCCTCTCTGCCACCTCTGAAAGCAGAACCGTCCCTCACTGCTCCCAAGGGGGTGCATCTCTCCCTGCTCGCACCAATGCAAATAGCTTTGAACCTGTTTTATAGGATTTGCGCTGATCTCTGCCCAAGTACCTCTTGCTAGTTGCAGTCAATTATTCCTCACTTCCGCGAATCTTTCATCCTGGCTCGACTTGGCAAAGTGTCACGCATCTCTCTCAGCCTTGCTAGTCCCCAAGGAGGGGAGCACACCGTGTGTGTGTTCGTTCAAGTCAGGAGTCTGCACAGTCAAGTGCAGAGGGTTGGCTGTGGTCTGGGAAGGTGCAGGAGCCCCTGCTTGTAAGTTTGTCTCTTAAATCAGCCACTGCATGTAACCTGGGTCCTGGCAACGTCCTAGCCTTTGGTTGTCCTAGTGTGCTGTCTGAAGGAGAGACTTTGGTATCAACGTGGCTCGTTGACGGTGGCTCCCCCAACGTGGTTTGTGGCCATTGCCACTCTCTCCAAGAGCTTGTGCATGACCCACAGTCAGGATTGGTCCAGGCACCTACTCTGCTATGTGCTGCCAATTCCTAGGATCCACTTTAAGAAATAAAGCTGAGGTTGGGACACCCCGGTGGCTCAGTCAGGTATGCATCTGACTCTTGATTTTGGCTCAAGTGATGGTCTCAGGGTCATGAGGTCAAGCCCCGTGTCAGGCTCTGTGCTGTCCCATACTCCCACTCTCTCTCTCTCAAAAATAAAAGAAAGAAAACTAAGGTAGATTTCATTTCATCCATGACTTTCTTTTTTCTTTCTTTCTTTCTTTCTTTCTTTCTTTCTTTCTTTCTTTCTTTCTTTCTTTCTTTCTTTTTAAAAAGATTTTATTTATTTATTTGACAGAGAGAGACACAGAGAGAGAAGGAACACAAGCAGGGGGAGCAGGAGAGGGAGAAGCAGACTCCCTGCTGAGCAGAGAGCCCAATGCTGAGCTCCATCTTGGGACCCTGGGATCATGACCTGAGCCGAAGGCAGATGCTTAACAACTGAGCCACCCAGATGCCCCCTCCATGACATCCTAAAAACTGTAGATAGTAGCCCCGTTATCTTGTCTGGAGCCTGGAGAGGAGAAAATGTTCTGGAAATGGAGACAGAGAGCCAGGTGGGAGCTGTGACCCCCACCACCCCCCACCCCCGGTCCCGACCAGCTGCGAAGCCGGGATCTACCTCAGTGGATAAGGAGGGCTGTGACTGCTGTCCCAGGGGTCAGCCTGCAGCTCAGTGTGGGCAGAGGGGGCCTTGTAGACACAGGGAGAGCCACGGTCAGCACCCAGGTGCCCTTGGCCTTCCTCTGGAGCCCTTCCTTCTGGTCTGCTGTCCTTCCTGACAGGTCCTCATAGTTCCCTCCTGCCCCTGATGCTGGTGCTTGTCTGTGCTTGGAGCTCATCATGGTGGGAGCAGATCTGAGAGCCCAATGGGACATGGGGGGTGGAGAGCCCTATGGCTCCTCTCTGCTGGTGTTGGGTGGAGTGCTTCCCCTCTGCTCTCATCTTGCTTAATCTCTCGACACCACTGAGACATGGCTGACTTGTTTTCCCTGTTCCCAGTCCTTCTGCATCACTGGCCATGTTTCCCACCTGGTCATAATTAGGCAGAGAGTGGCCATCCATTTCCATGCTTCCTTGCACCTCTGTGTTGCAAACCGTCAGCTGCACAGAGTAGGGGCCATCCCCGAGACACACCAGGTTCTCACTGCAGGGAGCTGCCCTCCTGGACCCCAAACACAGATGTGTGAGCCAAGTGTCAACACCTTGGCCTCCCTGTTTCTGATTGGTGGTCGTATCAGCCTAAGTGAAGCCACAGGTCACAGAAGCATGGTTCGCTTGGATGAGGACTCACCCATGGCATCTCCAACCTGACAAGACGGAGTGTTATTTCTGTTTCTTTCCTCCCTACCTGTTTCCACCTGCTTCAGGTGGCTTCCATGCTGGAAAAATGGATGTGGTGAAATTCAGGAAGGATGAAGAATAAGGTTTGGAAGACGACAGAGGAGTGGAGGCAGATATGCTTAGATATGACTTGCTCACACGGTGTGCCCTCAGTTTCCATATGATGGGGCGGGACCCTCGCTTTTGGTTTAAATAGGTGTACACAAGTTTTTAAGACATGTTTTTGCCCTGGGACAAGTTTTAGGAGAGGTATTGACCGTGACCCTCCCTGGGGGTCACTGGGTGATGCTCTAGATGGCAGCTGAGACCAGGCTGCGGAGCAAATGCAGATGAGCTGTCATTGCCGGTCCTGGTTGGTGCTCACTCAAAGGCAGGGACGAGCCTCTGGAGCTGTGGGCTTGGGTGGATCCCGTTTCAAGGAAAATTTCGTAGAGAAGCCCACTTCATGGAACCAACCAAAGACAGGCTGCCCCAGTCAAAGCAAACGTTGGATGTTTGGACTCCACCCATCACGCCCATCCCCTCACCGCCCTGGCGTGTACCCGGCCCCGCTCCAAGGCAACTGCATTCCACCCCCAGGAGAACACATTTGAAAACAGTGGCATTAAGAAAATCTTCCCCAAGGTGTGTCTGCACCCGACACGTCCCATATGGAAAAGGGTTTCTTGGTTAATTAGGTGTGAAAACACTAAATATATCTCTCACAAAGATTCAAAAGGTACATTAGCACAAGAGAGTGTCCTAGCCATTTGTGATGGTTGGTTTTGTATGTCAGGTTGGTTAGCTGTGGCACCCAGATTTTTGGTCAAACTCCAGTCTCACTGTTGCTGTGAGGTAATTTTGGAGGAGATTAACATTTATATCAGTAGATGGTTGCACAAAGACCACGATGCCGGTGGGCCTCGTCCAATCAGTTGAAGGCTGTAAGCGAAAAGACTTTAGGTCCCCAAGCAGGGAGGGAGTTCTGCCTTCAGACTCCAAACTGCAGTTCCTCCCTGGGTCTCCAGCCTGCTGGCCCACCCTGAGGATTTTGGACTTGCACCTGCACAATCACTCCAGCCAGTTCCTTAAAATATCCATAAATGCGCACCTTATCAGCTTTGACCAATAGACCTGATTAATACCGTCTTCTATTTCTTAATGGCTTTCCTGCACCCTCCTTGGTGTTATAGGAAGGCATCTGGTGATTCCTGTGTGCTCGGGAGGCTCCTAATAAAAACAGTAGCTTCAGTTCCCAAAGGGTCTTGCTGGTCTGGACGGTTCACACCAGTGATAAGCATCACAGTGTAGACAGACATTGGAGGTGCAGTTGTGAAATTTTGCTTTGTCCATTTTGATGGTCATTAGCTGAAAGCCACACACAAATGGAGATGTGCCCCAGATCCCTTCCCTGTGGCATGTAACGGTCGTACTGGATGTCCCCATCCCTCCTCTGAGTGGGCGCACTTTTTCTTTTTGAAAACGGTAACAAGCGTGGAGAACTGGTCTTCATTTCGGTTGTGGAAGAGAATAGTTTCACACTGACAGCTGAAAAGTGAAGGTTGAGACCTCATGTCGGGGGGAAGAGTCAGAGGCTGTGTGTGGGGCCCACAGGGTTGAGGGTGGAGGGTCCTGTGGTCCTGCTCCCACGTCCTCAGAAAGGGCAGATCTCTTAAAAATTGGAGAATTATGTGCACATTTTTAGAAATGTTTCCACTAGGAATGTTAGGAACCGCACAGAGGCTTGGATTCCATGTGTTTTTATGGGTAAACCCTCAGCCCGTTGGGAAAACGTGCTTTCGGGGTGGGGGTCCCTCACTGAGGAAGCTCTGTGCTGGGGGCCACAGGTGCCAGCTGGAGTCATCTCTGATCCTCCCGCTTCCACGCAGGTGCTCTCAGGGGCCCTCATGGTGGCCCTGTCCGGGAGGTGTGATGCGGACACTCTCCGGCTGCTGCTGAAGCTTCCCGAGGCCCGAGGGTCCTGGGCTGCAGCGGAGGAGCTGTGTGGCCTGCCCGGGCCCCACGTGTATGCTCTGATCGTGTCCATGAGTCAGAACCTGAATCTGCGCAATGTCATTTACAAAGTAAGGGGGTGACTGTGGGGGGCGGCCTGACTGTGGCCGTGTGCCATCTGCAGAGGGGCGGTGGGGAGGGGCGGGCAGGTGCCTTAGCCAACTTCCCCGTCTCATGTGTGCTGACTCTGGGGTGGGGTTTGGAATCTGGGGGTGCTGAGGAGACCTTCCAGGGGGTCCCTGGGATCAGGCCTGTGGGGACACTTGGCACAGCATTGCTGGCTGTCAGTGTGGTCAGCACAGGAGAACTCACTAGGAGAAGCCCTCCTAACTTCAGGACTGGGTTCCCCTCCTCCTTAAGAACCCTTTCTGGGGTACCTCTGGGGAAGCTGGGTTCCTCGGGCCATGACCCCTCCCCTCGGAGTCAGGAGCTGCTCCCACCCCTCCTTGGCCGTGGCTTCTCTGCCCCATTGTGTCCTGAGACCCACAGCCTCTGTCTTGTGAGGGTTACATGTCCGCCTGTGCCAGGACCTGTCCAGGAGAAGGTGTGCTGGTGGGAGGGAACACGGGCCAGGCTCTGGTCACTTTGGGAACCAGCTCATTACCTGCCCCACACACTCCTGCACGCAGTGGGATGAGGGTGAGAAGGGTCTGACAAATCCAAAGATGACAATGTGTGCTAGAGAGAGTTGACCATGGACAGTGAGCATGGCTGCCCTGGGACACCCCTGATTAACCCCCACTGACCGCCCGTGTGGATGGTGAGCACAGCTGACCTGGGGACACCCCCGATTACTCCCCCATTGACCGCTGTCTGGGCTCTACCTCTTCTAGAAGTTCCTCATCTGTCCTCCGCTGTTCGGGTCTTAGTTATGCTCTCAGAGACTTAGCTCTTACCCTTGGGGACCAGTCTTGTTCCCTGTTACTCCCTGGGGTGGATTCGTCGACATCTGGTCTAATCAGAGATGCCACAGGTGCTGCCAATCCGGCAAGGGTGCTCTGGGTGCCTCCGACCTGGGAGAAGAGCTTTGGGGTCAGGAAAAGGAGAGGTTTGCCAACCCGACCCTCTTTCCTCTGTGGTCTCCCTCCCATGGTTAAGTATTGGGTTATACACACACATACCCATTCTGAGCACAAGTGCTAACTTTCAGATCCAGTACCCCCTCCCAAATCCCCACGCATCCCCTGGGACACGGACGCAGCCCAACAGCGAGCCAGGGTTTTAGTGCCATTCTGTTATGCATGCAGAACCCCCACCCCCGCCCCCAGTGAAATTAGTGCTTCCAAATAAGTCCTCTGTGGAGGGGCATGAGGACGACATGTGGGTTGGGGTCAGTCTCCCAGATGGAAGCAGAAGGACACCACCACTCATCACACCTGCTATGATGCATCGGGAGCCTTCCAGGAGCACGGCTGTAGGAAAGTCGATGGACAGCATACTCCTGGAGATGGTGCAGCGGCCCCAAAACTGCAGGGCGAGTGGCATTGACACTGGGGTCCCAGGTCTACCCACTTTATGTTGCCCTGATGGTGAATCCGGGAGCCACTTGCAGAACACGGCTTGCCGTGCGGGTCTGTGGGTTCCTCTGTCTGTCAGCACTGTGGTCCCTTCCCGGTCATCCCCACCATGCATGTGGTGCGCTGGGCACCCCTCCTGGGGCGCGGGCTCCATGAGAAAGGCGAGCAGAGACAGACACAGAGCCCGCACCCGTGTCCGCTGCCCGCATGTTGACTGATCGTGCAGTGGCATCCTTATTTGCAGAGCCCAGCAGGGAAGAGAGAGCTGTGATCTTGGGGCCTGCAGGTCAGCCACAGAGCCGACGGCTAAGTGGCAGGTACAGGACGCTAAGGAGCAGGAATAAGAAGTTGTGACAGTCAGGGCCTCAGCCTGAGTCCAAAAGCCCAAAAATTCAGCATACAGATGAGCATAGAGAGAGGAGGCTCGCCGTGACTCCTCCCTTCTTGTGGGAAGAGGCAGTGTCTGCTCATTGGTCCATGTACCCAGCAGATTCTGAGCCATCATACCGCCCATGCTGTCCTGCTGCTGTACCTAAGGGATGGGACCGGCACGTATCCCCGCCCACGAGGAATCTATGGCCCAGAACAGACAAGACGTGACCAATAAGTAAAGCACTTAGCAGGTCAGGGTCACAGCACATGTAGGTTTCAAGGGCACTGCTGTTTCTAAAGTCCCAGGTTAAATGACCGGCCCCATCCTTCTGACTGTGAGACTCCTGGATGTCCTGGGATCTCCCAGCCCCTGTCCCTTTGTCCACAAAGTGAACATTAGCATGGCCCAGAGGGATGAGAAGGGTCAATGGCAATGGTTCACAGCGGGTAAATGGAAATCATTTCCCATATAAGAATTGTTTTGTTTTGACCTCTTAACTGTTCACTTTAGGCACTTCCAACATAAAGAGAAATATTTTGAAAATGATTTGAATTTTTAACGACAGAGTATGTCTATCCCTGCTGTACGTTTGCACAGTGTGGGTGCTCTGTGTGCCAAAATGCTGAGTGAGGGGTGCTCTGATACCGGGAACTTTTATATGGCATGAAGTTGTCTCAAGAGAGAAGAAAATCACATAACCAGGTTTTCACGGCTCAAGCAATGCTCATGAGAGTCTGAAGTCCGATGGTGATTTCTTGTGCTGTGTTTCTTCCTTTGAGACTCTGATGCCCTCGGAAGCCCACGACACACTCAGCTCCCTGTTGAATGTGGTCTCCAGGCTCAACCACTTGCTTGCCAAAGCCGGCCACGTTCTGGAATACCTCCCCGAATTTCTCCACTCGTATAAGATCACCACCTTGCTGGACATGCCCGACTTCCAACAGGTGTGTGTTTGCTCTTGGTCCCTGGGGAAAAGTTCAGGGTTGCTGTGTCTTGGTGTTTGCTGCTTTTGTCTGTATTTCTCTTTCTTCTAATGTCTAAAGTCTGCGTGTGGGAACAAAATATAGGAAAAGGACTACCTTCTCTGGTCTGGTGGCAACAGGACGGCAGTAAGGCCAGGTGTCTCCCTAAAAACCAAGGGACGGGGACTTCTTTGAGCTGCACGCACTCACGCGGTACGTGGGGATAGCTCGCAGATGGTCTGTGAAGTCAGAAATAGCTAAACCGAGTATCAGCACAAACGAGATTCCAAGGGCTTGTTTAACTTAATTCCGAGAGTGAACTGCTCTCACAAACCTTCAAACCTTTACTTACATACGAATAATTGGCTTACAAAGTACAGATAATTTGCTGCACACACAAATACAGACTCGAATGCGGTCAGCAGTGCGATGCTAGCTTTTGCCTGGACGCCGTCTACCAGGAGGGGCTTTGTGGTGAGAGCAGATGCGTGGGGACACGCAGAGGCTCAGGTCAGGGTGGGGGCAGACGGCAAGGTGCTTGGTGGCCTTGGGCAGGACGGTGCTCTGTCAGCGAGCTGATGCGTGATGTAGACAGCTGTCAAGTATCTGGGTAACCTGGCAGTAGGGGCGCACTTGAAGCCGTTAATTAGTTGGAGCGAGTGATATCTTATGGATCGATCACTTATCACCAGACAGACGAGGATTTGCAGGTGCATGCGCGCGCGCGCGCGCGTGTGTGTGTGTGTGTGTGTGTGACATTTGTCTCCATGACAGGTTTATAGGCCAGGAAAATCACTGCCTGACCTACTGAGTGTTTCAAGGTCAGAGACATCCGAAGCAGAGACCGTGTGCTTGGGCTTGTGGAACATCTTGGGTGTTGAGGTGGAGAGCGGGTTCCCTTTCAGAAGTCTCTGCCACGTGTTGAAATGCTGCTCTTTTCCTCATGTCCTCAGGCTCTGCAGCGTGGCCCGTCCAGAAGTTCAGCCTTCGGTTCTTTCCAGATCGTCATGAAGAAGGTTTGCAAGGACCAAGCATCCTTCTTCAGCGGCTCTAACTCGTTCATTGACTTGCCCAGAATCAACGAGCTCCTGGGAGGGGACAAAGAAAAATTCAACATTCCTGAAGATTCAAGTAAGACGACAGTCATTTATCGCACGCACTGAGATTGGTTTTTGTCTTGACTGTTAGCCCTGGTCTGCGCGGAGCATTCTGTGTGAAGGTGGGCGCACACTGGCAAAGAACTGTCTCCGTCCTCTTAGCTCTACCCCTCGCTTTCCCTACACGCTGCCCCAGCAGGTGGCTTTGGAAGTCCCCAGTGCCCGTGTGCACGGGCCCATCCTCTCCGTGCGTTGGTGGGGACGTGATACCGGTATTCTTTTCACATCATGGAGGGGACCGCTGTGATCAGAGATGAAATCATGTGGCCAAAGAGGCATAACTTGCTGGGGCTGGGAAACGCTGACTTGTCCAAACCCCAAACCCTTGCCACCATGTTCCGTCTGCCTTCCTAATTAGAATGTGTCCACCTAGAGTGGCCAGGAGGTTGCTTATCAATCCATGGTCCTTTGCCACTGAGCCCCATAGAAGACAGATTTGGAGGAGACCATATACATTTCTCTTTGTTGTAGGGTGTAGGGGGTTTGCAGGGGCCAAAATGGTGGTGCTGGTCTCCGTGTGTGGACCCCTCACCAGTCCAGGTCAGCCAGGGGTCCCAAGTGCACTGGGCTTCAGGGGTGTCTGACTCTCAGGCTTCCAGTCCTTTTAAAAGGTTTGCTTGATTGCTCAGCCGGGATAATCTCTTTGATGAGTTCCAAGTCAGCTGATTGGGGACCTTACTAACATCTTCAGGATTCCTTCACGGTGCCTGTGTAACCTACCGATGGGCGTGGCGTCTGTCATTCACAGGTCCCGTCTGCACGTCAAGGTGTGGAGTCCATCTGAAGGCTGTATTAACATTCTGCCTACCACCTGCCCCCAAATATATAAATATATAAAATATATTATCAGTTACAAATTATGTATTATATACGGATATATATTTATTTAATGTAAAAAATAGGTATTTAAATTTGTGTTTATGTATGGCATGCCCAGGATGGATAGAGTGTTGGTGGGACTGGGGAAGGGAGGAGCGTGGCAGTTTGCAGAGCTGGAGATGTAGGATAGAGCCACGCAGCAACGACCTTGCAGCCACGTCAGAGACCGTGTGTCAGTGTGCTCCTCAGCTAATGGATAATTTGGATAGCTGCCAAATATAACACAATTTGGCAGTATAAACACATTAATGTTATTAATATTTGATAATTTTTGTTGTCTACTTCTCTAATTCCCATTCTTTTTTTTTCTTGCATTTGAGTTTCTTGAGGATTTTTTATTTGCTCATCAAATTTGATCATCCAGTCATCCATCATTCCTCCACCCACCCATCAACTGACCCATCCATGGATCAATCTATCCATCCACCCATCTGTCCTTCCTTCCACCCATCCAATGATTCATCCATTCATCTGTCTATCTATTGATATACCCAACCATTGATCCATCCATCCATCCATCCCCACCCACCCATCCATTGATCCATCCATCCATCCTTCCATCCATCCATCTACCCATGTGTCCATCCTTCCATCCTCCATCCATCCTCCATCTATCCACCCACTCAACCATTCATCCATCTAGTCATTCAGCTACCATGGAGGACCAGTCCTTCTTGGTCCTTTCATACACTGTATTTCAAATGATTGTCACTCTGAGCATAGACAATATTAGTACACTCCTTTTCCACATGACATACTGGAGGCTCAGAGAAGGTTAAGTGACTTAAGCAAGTTCACACAGCTCTCAAGTGGCAGAGGTCAGGATTCCTGGTTTCAGATTTCTTGCTCTGTACCTATATATGGTTGTGTCTTTTCTGAAATGAAAATCATGACTGTTTAAATTATGCTTATAAAGTATAACTTTAAAAAATATCAGTAAGAGCAATCTTTATAAGTAAGTTTTAAAAACTTATTATGTTGTCACGCTCTTAATTATATCTCAGGGGATTCTTTCTATCAGTTTTATTGTACTTGTTGAATAAAAAGAACTGGTTTTTCCTTTTCAAACGGAGAATTTGGGAAGATGAAATTAATAATGGAGATAATCACAACTGCACTATTCATACCTTGGGTGTCAAGAATTATGCTATTAAAACTCAGGTATTTCCACCTTAAATGTCTGCTGCAGGGGTAAAAGAATAAGCTGAAGTATTTATTACTAACTTAAAACCTTACAATATTTTGGAGTTCTGGGTGACTCAGTCAGTTGAGTGTCTGACTCTTGATTTCAGCTCTGGTCTTGCTCTCCGGGTCGTGAATGTAAGCCCTGTGTTGGGCTCCACACTAGGCATGGGGCTGTTTAAAAAACAAAAAAACAAAGACAAACCGTACAGTGTTTGGTTACTACTAATCCTCATGGTGGTGGAGGCTCTACCCTCACTGTGTATCTATTCAGTTAGGTAAGTCGAGTCAACCTTTGATTGAAACCAATTATCATCCAGCAATGTTGATCCCCCACCTTGAAGGAACAAGGGTTTGGGTGAAAACAAGGTGATTTAATATATTAAAAACAGTAAGGTCAAACTGCTGTGTAGACGCAGGGAAGAAAATTCAGTAGCAATATATAAAGCTCATTTCATAGGAAGAATCTAATTCTGCTCCCAATCCTGTAAGTGTTGATGATTTTCTACATTAGAGATCAGATGCATTTCTCTCTTTTACTATTGGCAGGTGTCTTTGTCACAGTTAGTGCTCTTCTTGATGGCTTAGTTTGCATATGTGAAGGTCACGCTTCCCTTTCTTTGCAATTACTGAAATGAACATGTTATCTCGAAATTTCTCATGAGGTGAGAGGTGCTAAGGATAGCAACAAGAACACTTATTCTCGAATTTACTGCCCAAATTCAATTGTGGCATGAAAAATGTATCCACATCACCCATTAAAAAGTGAGCCATCATGGATATGTAGACGAGTGTCACTATTAGCCGGGGCATCCCATATCGTGAGTAATTTTTTTTTCTTCTTGTAATTGTGACAGCACCGTTTTGCTTGGACCTCTATCAAGAAATTTTGCAGTCTCCAAATGGCGCTTTGGTGTGGTCCTTCCTAAAACCAATATTACATGGAAAAATATTGTACACACCAAACACTCCAGAGATTAATGAAGTCATTCAAAAGGTGAGTCTGGGGGCGCCTGGGTGGTGCAGTGGGTTGAGCATCCGACTTGTGGTTTTGACTCAGGTCATGATTTCACAGTCATGATATCGAGCCCCACATCAGGCTCTACATCCAGCAGGGAGTCTGCTTGATTCTTTCTCCCCCTCCCTCTCTAAAATAAATAAGACAAAAATAGTGGAGTCCAAATGAGTGAGATCTTACTGAGCACACAGGCACAGAAGAAAGAAGAGATCTTTAAAGATAGCATAGTGTTCTACAGATTGGACTGCATAATGTTTCGTGTGGGGATTATGGTTCACCTTGGCCTCTTCGGGCTCCCATTTCCCCCGGGTCACTGTCCTAGAGGACACGCTGGAGCAGGAGGTGTTATTCGGAGGACAACTAGACAGAAGGGCAGGCTGTTCCCTGAGGTGGGAGGAGAACATGGGGGACAGAAGCTAGTCAGTTTGGCGTGGGGCATCTGGTGGTTAAGGACGAGTCGGACCTGATGTGTTCGTGGTCGTGGCCTGGGCCAGTTTGATTGTGACGCTCTGTCAGTCTCACTCTGTGGAGGAGAAGCCCGGGTAGAGACACAACCAGCTTCCCTGGGAGCAGACATCATGGGGTTCTGCTTGGTTTTCCCTCTGGACCTTATGTAGTGCCCCGCACCCATGCGCTCTCGGGTGTGGGATTCTTCCTATTGGTGCTTTCTTTTCCAAGGATGTGCTGTGGTTTGTGTTGTTTTTGTGCCTGGTCGTGGCTTGTAAGGAAGTCTGCAGGCTCCTTTTGGGGACTTCACAGAGGACAGACATGCGGGTGATCTGATCCGACTTTCCCACCCAGGAGAGGAGACCCCGAGTTTTCCCAATGATCCACGTTCAAGCTCCAAGTGGTACTAACTTGAAAGTGCAGGAGTCGGTGCTGGCGTGTGGTCACGGGAGCCGTGGTAGTCATCTTGGTCTGTCTGGTTTTTGCACACCCTGGGGCCATCCTGTGGGGTCACAGTGGAGGGCGACCCGTGGCTCCATCCCTCCGCAACAGCTCCAGGGCTGCAGGCACCCCCTGCTCTCGAATGTCGCCAATAACTGCTGTTTTCGTCTTGAAAATACTACTTGGCGGGGATGATTATGGAAATCCTTACTCTCACAGTGAAATGGTATTAATCTAGATAAGCACCAGGAGTTTGTCTCTCCAGAGAGACGCTCCAATAGGCCTGGGGCAAACAGATTCCCTTCCTGGTTAGGCTTTCAATGGTCTTCGAAGAACTTCATAGGAAACGACTCTATATCACAGCTCTTGTAAATTTCAATTTTTATTTTATTATTTTTTAAAGGATTTTATTTATTTATTTGGCAGAGAGGACACAAGCAAGGGGAGGGGCAGAGGGAGAAGGAGAAGCAGACTCCCCATTGCTCGGAACTCGATCCCAGGACCCTGAGATCATGACCTGAGCTGTAGGCAGATGCTTCACCAACTGAGCCACTCAGGTGTCCCTGTAATTTTAATTTTCAAAAACAAGGCGGGTGCCTGGCTGGCTCAGTTGGAAGAGCATGTGACCCTTGATCTCAGGGTCCTGAGTTCAGACCCCACGTCAGGTGTTGAGATTACTTAAACAAGTAAAACTTAAAAAAAAAAAAAAAAAAAAAAAAAAAAAAAACGTGAAGGAATTTTTCTCTTAAAAAAAAAAAGAATAAATAAGCCCTGAGTTTCTTAATTGATTATATATTATCCATTAGTGTTATTAATAATATGTATATGATAGTGTTTCATCTTGTGCTGTGTTCTATGATACAACAGTTAGTATGACTCCTTCTGACTCTGGAGAGCCCACCCTGCCGTGGGGAAGAGAAGACAAGCAAAGGAGTAATTTAGATGTAAGATGAGGGATTCACTCAGCATGCGAGGTGAGCAGCTCTCGCACGGAGAGGCATCTGGAGGGCAGGGCGTGTGGGCCTTCATCAGCGGGCGGGGGCTGTGGGTTGGCCAGGACACAGGTGCAGGGAGGGTCGAGCCCCGTGTAGCCTGAAGATAATGAAGATTCTAGAGAAACCAGAGATTTCCCGGATTCTGGCTTATTCCATTCCAGATTTTGTAGGCACTAACAGGAGCTGGTCATTCTCACGCATCCCACGCAGCTTGTGACCTGGCCCGTGGGTATCCTGGTTTTGGACTGATAAGGCTCACTTCACTTTGGCAGTCGGTCTCGGCTGCTTGGTTTCATGAAAGCTGGATCCAGTCACGCGACCCTTGGTGTAAAGTCCCACGTGGGTGGGAGACCCTGGAAACTTTGCCACTTGGGTAAAGTGAAGCTACATCATCTGTAGGGTACAGGGCTCGATGTTGCAAATTACTTAGTCCTCTGCATTATGTTCTGTTACGTGGAACCACCTACAGTGGCCACGTGTGTAGGAAAAAGTGTAAGTTCGGGGGGTTCAACTTCTGACATGGAGGGAGTCACCAAGAAGCATGGTGGTGGTAAGGACAGGTGTGCCCACGGTCAAGGCTGGGGATCGGCTTCCCTGTCCCGACCTTCTGTGTGACCTTGGGCTTATCCTATAGAGAGCCCTTCCTCCACCAGCAAAAGGGAGGCATGAGGGAGATCAAGGATTTCCCGTGGAAGATCACTCTTCATGGGGTTACACCGCAGTCCCTGGCACCCTTCCCATGCCCTTGCCTACCTGGTCTCCCCGGGGGTTGCTCCCCTCCACCGAGCACTTCCTTGACCCCAACAAAGCAACGGCTACAATTTCTAGGGAGTACTCAGCTCCTACTAAAGGCATTTAGGCAGGAATCCACGGTCTTTCCGTGTTATTATCCAAGCGGTGCCAGTGCATCAGTATCCTCTTTTAATTTTGTGGGTCAGCATTGTGTTTGGTCTTGGCCCTGGGCTGATGACAAATTAAAGAACAGCGTGAAGACACCACGTGAGCTTTAAGGGAGGTTAGAAAGGTAGAAAGCACAGATAAAAGAACTAGACTGGGTTTCCAAGAATCAGAAGCATGCCAGGAATGGCATCAGAAGCAAAGCGTCACTCCCCAGAACGTTGTTGGACGGCTTGTGCTCAGTTTCCTTTTGTCACATGAGCTAAGGGTGGCTTTCTCACAGTGCGTGTGGTCTGGAGGACTGGAGAAAGAATAGGTATCAGAAATGATATTTAGAAAAGAGGCAACTAATGTAAGCCTGGGTCTTCTCTATGAATGCGATCTCCTAAGGATGCTCCGCCATTGTTTGCCAGGGACCTGGGGAGGGCGGACGTCCCCCGAGGAAGGAGGCAGACATGGTGGGGGGCCCGGGGGTTCTCAGCCGGGGTGGAGCCTGATGATATTGTCCCCAGAGGACCGGAAGCAATGTCTAGAGACATCTCTGGTGTCCCAACCACGGTGGAGGTGGGGGAGGGGAGCTACGGGCCCCCAGTGGGTGGAGGCTGGGATGCTGTTAGGCTCCCCAAAATGCACAGGACAGCCCCCACTGTCCTGGGGGAGGTTCGTCTGATGCAGAATGTCATGGGTGCTGAGGCAGAAAAGTGTATCTAGAGAGGGTGGGAGCCCAAGGAGAGAGAGGGACAGAGGAGGGGCGGCCTGTCCAGCACCTGGTGATGGGGCTGAGTGGGAGGAGTTGTGGGCTGAGGGGAAGCCAAGAGCAGAGAGCACTTGGCCTTCACCTGTGTGTGTCTCAGAACCGTGGTGGCCCGAGCAGAGGGGTCAGGTGGGGGGCAGACTTGAATTAGTCTCTTCTAGCATCAGGGGAAGGAAGCCAGACTTTATTGATGTCTGTGTCCTGAGCCAAGGTTGGTGACCTGGCAAGCACCTGCTCCTGCAAGGGGCAAGGGGGCCTTGGTGCCAGGATGGCCTCAGCCCAGCTGTAGCTGGGCCTGAGTTAGCAGGAGTGAGTGTGGTCTGGGAGCATGCCCTGCTGCGCTTGCGGTCCTCACTGTTCCTTATCCACACTTGGCCAGGCCCCTGCCATGGACCATCTCATTTACCACTCAGACAACGTTGGAGGGAGGTACTAATTATCTCCATTATACAGACAGGAACACAAAGGCTTGGAGCAGACTCGAGACATAGCTGGTAAGAGGTGGAGCTGGAAATCGACACCTCTGTCACTTTCAAGTCTGTGATATGCTGCCTGTCCTCGCTGGCCCATAAGCAGTCTCTGTTAAACAACAGAGACTGATTCTGTCCCGGTCCTGGAGGCTGGGAGTCCACGGTCACAGTGTGGGCAGGGCCGGTTCTCTGGGGTTTGCAGATGGTTGTCCGCTGTGTGTCTGCGTCCTGATGTCCTCTTGCTATAAGGACCCCGCTCATTAGAGCCCAACCTGTGATACCACATTAACTTTATCACCCATCTCAAGACCTGATCTCCAAACACAGTCACAAATTCTGAGGTCCTGGGGGTTATGGCTTTGGGAAGACATGATGCCACGCGGAATATTGCCCCTTTCTTTTGCCGCTTGAACATGGAAATGTGTGGGACCATCGAGGACACGTGCAAGCTCTGTCCTTCAGGTTCTGCAGCCGGTTCTGGAATTGCATGGAAGATAGGAACCCAAGGGGGGCTGGTTTGCTGATGACTGTATGAACAAGGGGCTCGATTCTACAAAACAAGCAGGAGTCCCCCAGAGACCAGCCACAGGGCCACTGGTCTGTGTCACCTGGCCCTGGGCTCTCACAGGAGCTCTCCCTTGACCCTCGTGGCCCATGAACTTGCTCCCCAGGGCAGGGTCCCACTGACTTCTCTGTGTCACCTGCAGAGCCCAGCACAGCGTGATAACCAGGCATTGCCTGGTAGGAAGTCTGCACGAAACTTGCAGACCTCCCTTTTCAGGGCCTGTTGGAGGAGAAGATATGGTTCAAACTGTTTTCATACATACAAATGGCCATTCTAACTGGTATACGGTATAAGGAAACAACATGTGTTGGAGGGGATGTGGAGAAAGGGGAACCCTCTTACACTGTTGGTGGGAATGCAAGTTGGTGCAGCCACTTTGGAGAACGGTGTGGAGATTCCTCAAGAAATTA